TCTACTGACGGGGGGGGGATCACGGGGGAAGGTCTCTCTACTGACGGGGGGGGGTCACGGGGGAAGGTCTCTCTACTGACGGGGGGGGGTCACGGGGGGAAGGTCTCTACTGACGGGGGGGGGGTCACGGGGGAAGGTCTCTACTGACGGGGGGTCACGGGGGGAAGGTCTCTCTACTGACGGGGGGTCACGGGGGGAAGGTCTCTCTACTGACGGGGGGGGTCACGGGGGGAAGGTCTCTCTCTCTCTGCGGATTCATTTTCTTGTTGATGGGTTGAAGCGTGATCACAGGGGCGTGGGGGCGCATACGTCACTAACTGAAACATTCCCAGCAGCCCGCCCCGGGAGCTCCGGGCGCATGCGTTTCTGCTTCCGCTCACAGACACGCTTCAGGTGAACGGCCCGGATGTGCGAGGCTGTGACGCGTCCTGTAGGTGCGCATGAAAGAAGAACGCAGAATCTGATAAGATGACCACGAGCTCCAGGTCCCGGTGCGATGCCGCGCTGCCCCCACAGGCGGCCGCTGGTACTGCGTCAGCTTAGTTCCCTTCAACAACGGTTTGGATACTGCAGGCTGTGACCTTTGGGGTTCAAGATATGTTTCACCGGAGTGTGTGTGTGTGTGTGTGTGTGTGTGTGTGTGTGTTTCTGTCTGACTGCGACGTGCTCAAGACAGACGGGGCATCAGAAATACTGAGGGCGTCCCATGAAACTATTAATTACCCTCCCCAACCTCTCCCTGGAGATGGAGGGACGTCTCATGGTCACCCGGGCCGCCGCAACTTGTTCCCCCTCAGCAGCTGAGCCAAGTGCAGCCAACAGGCTGGAAGAGAAGAAGAAACATCACCTCCACTGAGAACGTTTGACGATAGACCAGAACACCAAGCAGAGCCCGTCTCAGCGCTCAAAACACACACACACACACACACGGCCTGAGCCTTGTCACATGTCCTGAATTATGAATCGATATTCTTTATTCAGCATATTCATGAACCCTCAAAGGACAATTTTGTCACGTGTAATTGTTTTATTATTCATTGAAAACATGAGGAAATAAAGCAGCGATGATCGAATGCTCTCTGAACGCTGTCGACCCAAAATTGACGGGTTAGCATTTTTTCCTTCTCTTTTCGACGACGCGTCTTCACAGCTCAACGTCTCCAGCGTGCGCAGAGAGATGTGGAGCACTTAGGCGAGCGCTTGGAGCGGCCCGCCGACGCCCTTTGCCGCCTCGTAGCGACGCTCCTCGGCCGCCGCTCGACCGGACAGTCGCTTCGGATCAGAGTAACCAGGGGGAGAGAATATGAGCTGATATTAGACAGACCCCTTTAAGGCGCTACGCATTCTTACATTCTGTGTGTGTGTGTGTGTGTGTGTGTGTGTGTGTGTGTGTGTTTTGTAGCAGAGGGACAGTGCGGCTATTTGTGTCGCGGAGGAACAGCTGGCGCCGCTCCGTCTTATCTATTGCAAATTCCCTTGGCCACCAACCGTCCTCAACCCTGGTTAGCTTTCTTTTTTTTTACGAGTCAACGTCTCCAACGCGGCTCAGATTATCAGGGTGGTGTTTTTCTAGATGCCTCCTGACGGCCAGATCGCTAACGAGATGTTGAGGTACATTTCAGAAGACTCCTCCCTACTCCTCGCCACATCTGTCGCTTCCTGTACAGCAGGCCGACGCGTGCTCCCGCTCCGCTGTGGCTGGGTCGTGGAGGCCCTGCGGCGCGGCCGGCCCCGTACGGCAGGTGTGCGGATGTCAGGTTGCGCCGCGCAGGGCGGGACGAATGGCAGGTGGATGTGTCCTCGTTGTTAACGGGGGAAGAGACGGAAGAAAGGAGCGTTGATCTGTTAAAGCGAGGTCGGCCTCCGGTGCTGATCACTTACAGTGATGGATACCGGAGGGGGGCCGAGGGGGGCCGAGGGGGGGGGGGAGTTGTTTCCTTTGTGTCAGTGGGATTGACTTTGCAGAGATTACGTGCACCACTCAAATACACACCGACGGCATCAATATTCAGACGTTGAGTCAGAGTAGCAGCTTTCAGGAGCTATAAATGTCTTTCATTGGTCCTGAACTGAACTCCAAATGCAGAGTGCGACTTCCCCGTCTCTGTAGATTATACCGCCATAGCGATGAGATGTTTTATCGTTTGGGGAGTTCCTCCCCTTCTCAGTGCAAACTATGCAGGTGTATCGGCAGCGGTAGCTTGGATGAGAGGAAATGAGCCTTTTCTGACCCTCAGGCGCTGATAGTTAGTGCAACACAATGCATAATGTATCAGGTGGCGACTCTTTGCTGTCGTGGTCACAGTGACTCTTTTTCTCGCCTCTTTTATTCCCCCATTGACCGACTCCTCACTCAGTCCTCCCGCCCGGCGCCATCACGTGCGTCTTCCTGCCTTTTGTGTTCCACTAGGACGACTATTGATGTGAGCAAAACCTTTTTGCAGATCTGGAAACCTTCAGAAACATTGTTTTTAGGTGTTGGTTTTGTCTGAGAGGGACGGCGGCTTGTGTGTAGAGGAAACGCTCTTTTCCTTTTCCAGGAAGGACGCCAATCTCCAGTACCACACACACACACACACACACAGCGTAGTATGCTCCTACTTACAGTACGTGTAGAAATAGACTCTGACTCCTGCACATTGTATTATTTTTGGAATCTCCCATAGATCATGGCCGGACCTTCATGACTAACATCATTGCTGCTAAAGATATCACTACCGTAGGTGTCCTGTGGCGCCCTGTAAACAGGATACTCCCCTGGGTGTCCCACCCATCTCCTTGCTTCCTCCATCCAGTCATGAGACGGTTGTAAACTCCGCACACAGCAGAAGCTTTCAAGCTTCGTTTGTCACAGAAGTGTCAAAAGATCTCCCTGTTTTGGGCCCGTCGGCGTCTGTTTGGGTGGATGCACGTGTGGAGATCACTGTCACTATGTCAGTGTGTGTGTGTGTGTGGATGCGAGCAGGAGGATGAGGAGCAGCGTGGGCGTGCGTCGGTGCATATGTTTGTGTGGGTGAGCGCGCGTTTCAACAAAGGCCTAAAAATAGTAGGACTATGCCCATGTGACATATTGAGGATAAAAGCTTGTGAATAATTTGTCTTGCAACACACACACACAGAGACAAATGTCTGCCTCCGTCAGCCAGCAGAGTTGGAAGGAGCTCTCGCCAGTCTGTCCACTCACACTCGGTCGGTCAGCAGGATTCACGTGGATGTGGAGCAAATAATGAGGAATCATTGTCCATTCACCGGTGCGTTCATTGTATCCCGTCCTTTGATTAACATTTAAGCAGATACATTAGTGTTTAGTTTAACACAGTATAAGCAAACCCAAATAGCCACACGGCAGTACGATTCTCCATTTTGACTTCCCTATCTCTTCCTTCTTATCTTTCCTTCCTCTAAAAGGAACTTCCGTCACCTTTCTTATCCAAGCCGCTCGTTTGGGAGTGAAGACAAAAGTGGACACTTGTTCCGTCTGTCCGTTAGCTCTTAAAAGTATTTGCGGGTCGAGCTTGGTGCTCCGGTTCACAGGTATACAAGTGAACGAGGTTACATAATCCCTCCTTTCCCAAGACGTTCTGCTCCCAGCACGCGCTGCCGTAATGAGTGTTTCTGTGGGACATCAACAGGGGGACAAAGAGGTGACTCGCTTCTGACTTTCAGTACTTTGCTGCAATATCTTTAGGGTGACATTTCCTTATAGGCTCATAAATAACCCTTCACATAAACCCCCAGAACCCAGAACCACCCACCTGAGGTAAAGCTGCTGTTATTACTTTACCTCTTGGCCTTTTCCACTTGGAGAGAACATTCACGCTCGATGGCTGCATCCTGCCGCGCATGCAGGTAAACTGTGTGTGTGTGTGTGTGTGTGTGTGTGTGTGTGTGTGTGTGTGTGTGTGCGCGCGCGCGTGTGCGTCGAGGCTCTCTGCCGTGTGCTGCAGTCACGCATCAGTCTCTGACAATAATAAACGTGTCACCCTGTAATCAAACATGGCTCCTTATCAACATTTAGCCACTCAGCATTTCGTCGAATCAAACTTCCTTTTGCAAGCCAGGCTATTGATTCCGCTGTCCAGGTCCGTAGCTCGGGGTAAAGGTCAGGTGTGCTGTGGCCGCCGCGTCTGTGTCGTCTTGACCCCCGGCTGTCGCCACATAAGCACAAGTAAGCTGGTGGGAATGTTCTTGAACGGCTGAGTGGGCTGCAGGAGTACTCTGCCACGTGAGAGACCCTGAATTATTTAAAGCCACGGGGGCATGTGAGGCTGCGTTACCCCACAACCCGGCCGCGTGTCGGAGGGAAGTGAAACGCGTGCGGCTCGTTTACCGCAGGCCGCGGAAGGCGAGACACCTTTCTGTCATCTGTCCCCGGGAAAAGGGAGTTGGGGGCACCGGCGCGGTTAAAGAGACGGCGAGCTGGAAGAGCCACAGAGGGAGGAGGGAGGGAGGTGGAGGCAGACAGAGAGCAGGTGGGGGTTGTGAACACACCGATAAGCGGCCTGGCTGACAGGACGGCTGATAAGCAGCCTGTGTGTCAGGTTTGGCGGGCCGGGGGGGGCAGACGGGTACAACGGAATAAAGGCACGTCGGAACTTGTAAGAGTATAACTTATTGAATTAATGCCGAGTCGCACTGAACTCAAATCAGATGGTTCGGTTCTGTGTGTGCAGACAATCTAATGCAGTTGTGCTCAATGTATTTGTAGTATTTCTGCAAACCGTTTCCGGAATCCCACAACTGTTTTGATCGGACATACGCGTTTAGTTTTAAGCAGCTGCTCAGAAGAAACGATCTCACATTCAGCTCAGCGGTTGAATTTGTCTTATACTTATTTACCAAGTACCTTAATATTTAGCACTCATTCAAAAACCATTAGTGTGCCGTTAACAAGCCAGTAAACATGGCCTGCTAATCGTTCTTCTCTTCTTTGTGCATTGATAGTCAGCATTGTGTGCCTCATCATTTCTCTTTAAAGTGTCTCTTCCTCTTTTTTGCAGGGAAGCCCCAAAGCATCGAGAGCTCCGAGCGGGTCCAGCTGTCCGGGACGTACAACGTCCGCAAGGGGAAGCTCCAGCTGCCGGTCAACCGCTGGACCAGGCGGCAGGTCATTCTGTGCGGCACCTGCCTCATCGTCTCCTCGGTCAAGGAGAGCCAGACGGGGAAGATGCACATCCTGCCGCTCATTGGAGGAAAAGTAAGTTCCGCTTAACCCAACGGGGCGCGACTTCTCTCTTCTCCCAGTCGTGGCTTTTATTGCGATGTTGTTTCATTTGTTGTTGGGATCATAAACTGATGACCTGATAAAGTCACTCCTATTGCCCCCGAGCCAACGTCAAGATGTTGCACCTTGAACAAATGTTTGTCCTCTAGTGACACGAAGCTTCTGGATCGATCAGCATTAGATCAAAGTCAGAAACAGAAAGCCAATTTTCAAAAATGTCAAAATGTTTCCAGTATTCATTCAGTATTCAGTCCATTTCTAATGTAGAGTCATACTGCCTCAATGTTCAGAGGAATGGGTCCCTTTAATATTCAACTAGCCATATTTCACTCCTTATTTAATTATGTATATATAATATATTTGATGTGCCTCCCTGTAAATGAGCTTTATTCCTTTATTGTTTTATGGATCTGTTTATCTGTGAGGCAAAGAGGCCTTTCTACCTGCCTGCTTGACACAAAGTAAACTTCCTGCTCCGACACACCTGGTCTGGTCTGACATTTGGCACGCAGCACGTGACCTCTAGTCAACTATTCATTCATGCACACGGGCATCTCGCATGCGCTGAGCTGTGTGCGTGCCAGTATTTTATTCAAGCACATAACTAGTCAAGCTTTTTGTTTTCCACAGTGAGGTCTGCCGTGCAGAGTGTGCGTGAAAAGCCGTTTCACATACATTAAGCGCTGCTCGTGTCACGCACATGTATTCATTATATGATCCTTGGTGCCTCACGGATACAAGTGTGCTTCTGGTTGACTGGACTCGTCTCCCCTGCAGCCAGTCGGCATTTGGAATACGAGCTAACGCACTGAGACGTCCATGTTTTCCTTTCTGCTTCCATTAATTGTGTGCACGTCCAGGCGGTTATCTGTTATATACTGAGCGGGGGGGGTCAGAGGGGATCAGTGTTTCAGGCAGGAGTGTCACCCCCCCCCCGTTGTGTGTGTGTGCGCTTGTTTCGTTCTGCAGGTGGAGGAAGTAAAGAAGCACAACCACTGCTTGGCTTTCAGCTCGGCGGGGCCTCAGAGTCAGACGTACTACGTCAGCTTCGACAGCTTCACCGAGCACCTGCGCTGGCACAGGCAGGCCGCCAAGGTACTGCGTGCGTGTGCGTGTGCGTGCGTGTGCGTGCGTGCGTGCGTGCGTGTGTGTGCGCGCGTGTGTGTGTGTGTGCGCCAGAGTTAGAGGGAGAAAAAGGAGGACGTGAGCATATGCTGCCCACGGGTCAGTTGCGGTGTTTATCCGAACACGCGTGACTGCCAGTGGCAGCGTGACAATGCGGGAGCCACTACAATCCCACGCAGTGCATTCTGGGAGGGATTGGAAACTCCAGCAGCACACAACAACCCCTCATGGCTCTCGCTCCCGAGGTCACAGCCAGAAAAACCTCTTCTTCTAAACACGAACAAGGACGGGCATGACGGCGGCACCCAGAGCGCCGCTCAGAATAGAAGCCCGGGTAGAAGCAGCGCGTGCGCCAGTGACGACTGCCGAGCCCGTAGCGAGGCCTCGGGTTCACGGCGTGCCGGTGTTCTCTGGTGAGACGAAGTGCGCGTTTATGTGTGCGCTCCCGTCAATTTGACTAACAAATCGCAGGTTAACCGCTCGGCGCACCTGCAGTGAAACTAGAATATTGCCGTGTTGTAATGTCAGGTCAGTCACCTGCTGAACTCTTCCTTGACTTCCCCTGAATGTAATCCTAGGAAGACACCCACACACAGTAAACCAGTTTAGGACTCGTGTGCTCGTGGTAATCCTGCTTGACGGCCTTTTTCCTCTTTCTCACTGTCCTGCCCGCCTTCATCTAGATGGTGTCCCAGAGGATCAACTCGGTGGATCTGTCCTGCTGCAGTCTGGAGCAGCTTCCGCCCAACCTCTTCTACAGCCACGACCTCACCCACCTCAACCTCAAGCAAAACTTCCTGCCTGCAGACCAGCGGCTGCAGCAGCTGCAGAGGTACAATGCCATCGGAAATGTACAGTAAACACACGTGAGGCTTAAATAAGAGGGGGAGAGGCAGGAGGGGCGAGATCCGGGCGTGATGAGACTGGCGGTTCGCCGTTGTCGGGTCCGTACTAGCAGCTGGGCTGTGCACGGCGACCATCCACTGGACACAGCAGGTCATGGCTGGTTTGGCTGCAGCTTTCCCCTGCAATTTGTGAGTCATCGACCTGAGCAGTCTCGGACCTGAGCCATGGGCACATGGGGGGGGGGGACAAATAGGCGAGCCAGGCCGTACCAGGCCAGGCCAAACGTGCCCAGAGCCCAGAAGGGTAGATGAGTCTTCGGGGAAGCTTTTAATGTGCCCGGCCTCCCTCGCTCTCTCTCTCTGTGGGCACCATCTGCTGCGTGCTTATCACGGCCCCAGATTAAAGCCCGCGGCCAAGACGCCCGCGTGTTTGTGTGTTCGCACAAATGTATTTTGCATTCAGTCAGCCGTGCCCGTGTATTCTTACCGACAATCACTGCCAGGAGATGTTCATCGTTGGAGTGAGTGAATCGTGTGTTGCAGAAGTGTGAGAGGAGGACAGAGCTGCATGCTTGCGTGCAACAGAAAAAGTGGCTGCAGGCTACAGATTTGGGGTCAGTGCATACAAAGTCTTGATACAGTATGGCATTCATTTGGGGTTTTTTCTTTTTAAGACGTCTGCACTGAATGGAATGCGTGTCCTCTAGAGAAAGAGTTGTACACGAGGTCAGGATTGCATCATCTATCAATAGTTTTTTGTCTTTTTCTTTAAATCTTGGAATAAAAACCCGGTTTTAAAAAGGCGACGACACACGGGCCGTATCTGTTTAAAGTGATGCACATGCAGCTCCCCTGCTGGTCAAACCAGGTAACATCCATCTATCTTTGCCAAACCTAAGTAGGCTCATCCGCGTTTGACCCAGCATGACAGAAAAAGAGGTCAGTAATGAGAAAGAGATGAATAGTTAGCTGAAAATAGAGCCATTTAGACAGAAACGTGTAGCAGAGTTACTTGAGTACTCGCTTTGCTCCCTGAAGGCGCTGGAGGAACAATAGCACCCTGTGTGCAGCACCCATGAATGTGGGTGTATGTGTTTTGGTGTGGACAGTTGTGTGAGAGTGCGTTTTTGTTTCAGTATAAACACCGACTTTCTCCGTCATCTCACATGGGGTCAGAGTGCGTCGTGTTTTTCCAAGAGGAACGGAATGTGTGAACCTGCCGCCTGCTTCTCTCCCTCTCCAGCCAAATGCTGACCGGCTGGTGATCCGCCAATCAGATACGCATGCGACCAGTTGTGCGAGATACGAGCCGTCTCCTCCGGCGCGGAGCGCCTTCCCATCATGCATCTGTGAGACAGAGGTCACATCGGATGTTGCATGCGTATGATTAAGCCTCTGGTGTGTTTATTTACATATGAATGACAATGAGGTGAATTAAGTTATGAAGGACATAAAACTCACACGAGGGTGGAAGGAACCGAGATAACGTTGGACCAAATAGTGTCAGAAAGAATCGTGAAACAATGAAAGTTGCTCTTTTATTTTTTAGGCAGCTCGGTGGAAGCTAAAGACATAAAGTGGATATGGTGATCGTGTTTGCAAGCGGTTGCTTTTTTACACATTCGGCCGACAGGGAATTCCATTAGCATTAATTCAGTGTGTCTCTGCCCACCTAGCGAGTCCAAGTCCACACTCCCTTTGCTTCATGTTTGCACCATCGAGGCCTGAGTGAAATATCTGGCTTACTTTAGTCAAAGATGAAGTTGATAACAGTGCAGCTGTCGGCCGGAACACCACATCAAGATGCTGAAAGTCGTCGTCGACCTCAGAGAAACTGCAAAAGCACTTGATCCTTTCACATGAAGATCAGTTCACCTGAGCTGATCACAGCATTGACCCCTTGTTGCCTGTTCAAGTTGACATGTCGACACAGCTGCATTACACTTTATTCCGATATCCAATTTCAGAGTTTCACAGTTCTGTTTTGGTCTCCACCAACTTCTAACAATAAGAATGTCTTCAGCTTGCAAGCAGCTTTGTGGTCACCAGCTAATCTCTCATTTTGTCTCCCCGCCATCTAGTGAAATATGAGGAGTTGCTAAAGATTCGGTTCATATAGGACCAGGTCTTATTAAACCTCTTACACACACTGTACTTGCTCAGTCCTCTTCGTCCCGTCTTGGTACTTAGGCTGCAAGGAGACGTCCCCATCGTATATTGTCCTTGTCAAGCAGATTCGTCTCTCTCCACGACGGCTGCTCCCACCTGAAGACGCACGGCTCGATTTCTTTCCCTCGACTGAATGCATTTCTCTTTTTTTTCACTGAGCATCAAAATCCAAAACAAGTAGCTTTAAAAATTGCTTTATTTGTATTTTTATTCAGTGTAAAGGTTGAATGATGTAGAATAACAGATCTAAAATGATGAAGTTGTGCATTATTTGCATTTGAAGGTGGGAAATAAGTATTTAAATACTGTAAATACACAAGAAGAAAAGAGAACAGCGTGATCACACTAAATGACAGCAGGACACTGGGAGAGAGTCTGATTAATGGTGGACACACACACACACACACACACACACACACACACTCTCAGCTGGCCTAATCAATAGCCCCGACGTCTTGGTTGCCTTTTTCTCCATCACCATGACAAATGGTGTTTGCATCTGTTTGTGACGTGTGTGCGCGTGCGTGTGTGCGTGTGCGTGTGCGTGTGTGTGCGTGCGCAATATGTCGTAAACCAAGACGTGGCAGTTTGAGCCGCTGCTCCAGCCTGCGGTGCTAATATGGCGCCGTGCCCGTCAGCGGCGCTCGCCGTGGCTACGAGCTGTGTGCACATGATGGGTGGTAACGGGTCCCGCGTGTGGACGGATAAATAAAGCACGGAGACAAATGCCACTCGTCACTGGTGATTGAATGAACAACACAGACGTCGATGCGGAACGTGTTTTCTCAACAATCTCACGTGACGGTTCAGGCGGGTTCCGTGTCACTCGCTCACGCTTCCCCTCTTCCTCTTCTCTTGTCCTCATTGGACTCTGGTCTTCCTCTACCTGCAGATTTTCCCGCCTGCGAAGCCTCAACCTGTCCAACAACCACCTCGGCCAGTTCCCCCATGCCATCTGTGACATCCCCACTCTGACGGAGGTCAACCTCAGCTGTAATTACTTGACCTGTGTCCCGGGCTCAGTGGGAGCCATGGCCAAGTAAGTAAGAGCAGGAGGTCACATGTCACCTGTAGCGAGAACCACTGCTCTTTGTGTTCGCTCTTCCTTTGTTGGTTGTTCCGCTACCCTCCTTCCGCTCTCCACACTACTTGCTAGTTGTTCCCCTCTCAGCTGCTGAGTTGCGGCGTTGGTGCTCGCTCGCATTGATGACGTCTCCGGGCTGGAAACCAGTCAATCCTTTTCCATCAAACCAACCACGTATGGTGGTAGTTACCTAGCAACACGTGCAGGGCATAACAACCACCGTGTTTGGCTTGGCGAGTTTCAACATGCGCGCACAGCGACTTGCACAGATCTTCTGTGCTGCTTCCCGGTCACGTTTAGTCTTCTGTGGCCCGTTCCTGGTCTGCTTGCCGCCATTTCTAGTCTGTGAAAGTCAAGTTCAAAGCGTTTTCTTCCTTTTTAAATGTATTGTTCCAACCTGCTGTGGAGGATTCGATGGTGACCATCTCCCTTTGCACGGTGAACCCTTCAAGGTTCTGGTTGTTCTATATTCTATCGGGCTGACTCGGTCAAATTGCTACCTCGAAATAATCTCAGATCCTTGACAGCACTTTCAGAGTGTCAGCAAAAATGTAAATAGGTATTTATAATGAATTGGGTCATAAACTTGATAATTCGTTGATTACCAGGCAGCATTTGCCCCACCGTGACACTTCGAAGCTGAGCACGTTAGAGAGAAGTTAATCTGCAGGAATGATCCGGTATGCCTGTAAATTCCCATAAAGCCTCCTGGACGGCACGTGTGCTGCTTCTGCCCCCTGCTGGACATCTAATGCGCTGTTCCTCTCTCGCAGTCTGCAGACGTTCCTGTTGGACGGAAACGGTCTGGCTGAGCTGCCCGTGGAGCTGGGCTCCCTCCAGAGGTTGACTTACCTGGGCCTCTCCTTCAACCAGTTCCACCACGTGCCACAGGTGCTGGAGCAGTTAGCCGCCATGGAGAAGCTGTGCATGGCCGGAAACCGCCTCGACACGCTCACCCTGCAGAATTTCCGACTGCTCCGTGTCAAACACATCGATCTGAGGTAACGGCAGGTCGGGTAGCTGGTTACACACATTAAACACAGTGTGAGGGACTGTATGAAAGAACCACTTGACACAAGAAGAAGTATCGCTTAGTTCAGCGCTGTGTACTCAATGACACATGTAATCCCACTAATGATAGAAACAAAAACATTAAGAGGCGAGCCGAAGGCCCAGCAGCACGGAATCAGGAAATCATTTGCTTCCAGCGGCTCCATCAGGTCGCTTCCAGTTGTTTGCAGACGCACAGAGCTGCAGTGACTTGCACTTTTTTCGAGTTAATACTTCAACCCTCGCGACTTTAAAAGAGGTCAGTCGATACATTTTCCAGCATTCCTGTTTGGGCAAAGATCACCTGTGTGTCTGATGAGGAGGACGAGCGCTGCAGCTGGTTGTTTCTGTCGATTTAACTCTAAGAATGCAGAGAAAAGTTCAGAAACCATTCAGCCGTTCATCAACGAATCGACGAGTTTATTGTTCAATCCGACAAATACGATTCATTCATTAATTGCTTGGTCGGAATTCTCAACAATAATTCTAAACCAAAAGATATTAACTTACTATCTATACTCTAAAACAGATAAGAGCAGAACACATGATAGAAATTATAAGAACAAATTCGATTTGCTGCTAAATAGTTAAATAATCCATAATTAATTAACTTTAATTAATGAATGATCTGAATACGGTGATGAATCAGAAAATCAATCAACAACATTAATGGAATAATTGTCACAAAATAGTTTGAAGCTTTTCAAATATGAGATTTGCCGGCGATTCTGTTTCTTGTTTAAATTTAAATTCAAAGCATTGACTTTTGGAATGTTCACCGGACAAAACCAGATATTTGAAGAAAATTTGCAACGGAGCAGTCGAATGAAAACCATCAGTCTCTCGTTGCTCATCAATGAGGAACAAAAGTGTTTAATATTGTGAATGTTGATATTTTAAAATAAATAATCATAATAAAAAGCACAGACACAAAATTGTGAAATGATTACGTTGACATTAAAATGGTTTATAGGGCAGCCTTGTTATTGCATTGTAGTGGAAAATGTCCTCTTTCCTAAGGCTGCTGTTTTTGTCTTCAAAGCCTATTTTCGTCACAAAGGCTTTGCCTGTCAATCAACACTATTGCTTTAGGCTACACATATTTCGGCAAATCCAGATTTTTTTATTTTTTATGGAAAATAATTGTTTTTTTTCATGTGTTTTTCCGTATTATTGCACATCGCCGTATGTGATATCGTATAATTAAACGCTTGAACTGACCACCACTAGCGGACTGAGCAGAAATGCAACAAATGAAAAACGGCTTCATCAGTATCCCTGCAGGCACGTTCCCCGCCTCCTAAGAAAGGCCACGGCCACTTCCACCCCTCTGCCTGCTCCCTCTGTCAGGTTGAATAAGATCTCCAGCGTGGTGGCGGACGAGCCGGACCTGCTGAGGCACGTAACGCAGCTGGACGTGAGGGACAACAGGCTGACGCACCTGGACGCCTCCGTCTTCCCCAGACTGGAGGTGCTTCACTGCGAGAGGAACCGCATCGCCTCCCTCCGGGCCAAGGGGAGCCTGCTCAAAGGCGTCTACGCCGCCAACAACGGTGGGTTTGTCCCTCTGCGTCACCGCCATCGCCCCTAAACTGAGAATAAGTCGTATCTCCCCCCACAGACGTCCCTCCCTCCACTTTTATTTCACCTCTCCAATTTTTCTCATCAGTGCCGCAGTCTCATGGTCCCTCTCCATCATTGCTCGCTACCTCGTCACCACCACCAAGCGCCCCCCCCCCCCCCGAACGCTGCCCCTCCATTATCCATCTGCCTGCTCTTGTATTAGGCCGCGTCTGTCCTTGCTGTAGGTTAATGTGTTGAATTCTCCCTGCAGAGCTCCGGCAGCTGGATATAAGTCCTGTGCCCTCTAATCTCACTTACATGGACATCTCGAGGTGAGAGGCTTCACACGCACACACACATACACACGCACACGCGCACACACACGCACACACACACACACACACACACACACAGTCTAATCGTGTGGACGTGTGGAGAAATGTTGATTTCTGACGCTCTTCAACTGTCGGGCTCGATTGTGCTCAATAAGAAAAGGAAGGAAAGTACTTTCATTTAAGTGCCGTATTGATTTTATTTTTTAATTATTTAAAGACCAGTCGCCAGTTATTATTGCTCTTTTGTTGAGCTGAGACTCACCTGAAAAAATCTGGAAAGAACCGAAGTTGCTGCCGTTTCTTTTAGAGCCGAACTGTTTTCGATTCAAAGAGCTGCAGCGTCACAGTTCATTATATTCAATGCTTGACATATTGCACGCTTTTAATCATCATCTCCTCCCGTAGGAACCGTATGGAGTCCTTGCCAGACTGGCTGTGCGAGGCCAAGAAACTGGAAGTTCTGGACATGAGCCACAACCTCATCACTGAGCTGCCGGCGCGGTGAGTCTGTTGGCCTGTAAATGGACTCCGGTGCTGCATTATTCTCGCTGGCCGCTCGTCTCTTCCCCCCCAGAGCCACTTAAATCACACGGATAGCCTGTAACCTGCGTCCGTCCTCTCCCGCCTTACGCGCCGCCCCCTCTGCGTCTCTCTGTCCCTTCGCTCCTCCTCGTTGTCTGCTCATTCCTTCTTTGCCCAGTAAGTGTCAGGATGATTCATCTCAGCTGCAGGCTCCACTGGAGGCGCTGCTACTCTCTTGTTTCCACATCCCCCCCCCTCTCTCCTCATCTCTGCTCGTGCAGCGATCTATGGACCAACGGATCCATCTACGCATCTATACAGCGCTCTATGCACTCTAGGTCTACGTGTCTGTCCTGGGTGTTCCTGTGCTGACGGCCGTCTGTGTGTTCTTCATGCCGCAGGTTGTTTTGCAGCAACAGTCTGAGGAAGCTGAGTGCAGGACACAACCAGTTGCAGAAGCTTCCTGAAAGAGTGGAGCGCCCTCTGCTGGAGATATTGGACGTACAGCACAATCAACTGGTGGAGCTGTCCAGCAACCTGTTCCTCAAATCTGACAGGTAACTTGTTGTTCATCAGACAGAACGCCTGATATCGTCCAAGAGCTGAAATTATAAATAGGGTTTTAATCAAGAAGCAGATGCCCAAAGGCCATGGGGGGACAAGCAAACACAAAACACCCAACCAGGACAATTTGTGGTTAGAAGGCAAAGTCGCAACGGGGGTATCAGAAGAAAAATGGTCCAGAAAAATGAGTCTGTTTTCTAACTTTAACTTTCAGTTTACGGTCCCTGAATGCGTCAGCCAATAAGCTGGAGCACCTGCCGCCATCCAGCCTATCGGAGGAGAGCAACAGCATCCTGCAGGAACTCTATTTGACCAACAACCGGCTGACTGATAAGTGCGTTCCGCTGCTAACGGGCCACACGCACCTTCGTGTTCTGCACATGGCCTACAACCATCTGCAGACCTTCCCGGCCAGGTGAAGAACATGCATTTAGTAATGTACTTTTATTTCTTCTCACTTGAGCTTAAAGCTCACTTATTTTTTATTAAAGCTTGCGTTGAATCTGTTAATTATTTAGTCCAGAGCGCGACCGGCTTTCTGAGGCAAATATCAATACACCGTAAAATGATCTGAAAACAATAGTTTGCCTGATATTAATCTGTTTCTTGGTATTTCTGCAGGCAAAAGCGTGTGTTCTTGTCAGGTGCTGCGATAGGAAGTAGCTTCAAGGAAATGAATTGTTGTGGATTTATTGTCTTTTATTCAATCTTCTGTTTACACCCTCGACTGACCCGACGTGATCCTTTATGCTTCAGTAAAATGGCCAAGCTGGAGGAGCTGGAGGAGGTGGACCTGAGTGGAAACCTGCTGAAGACGGTGCCCACCACCATCATGAATTGCCGGCGGATGCACACGCTCATCGCCCACTCCAACGCCATCGAGGTCTTCCCCGAGGTCATGCAGCTGATGGAGATGAAAGTAAGACAGAACACAGCATACCATGTTGGTTTGTCTGCATGTTCATATAGGACGTCGGGCTCAAACTGTGTGTGGTCGTCTTTTCCTCCGTCTCCAGTGTGTGGATCTGAGCTGTAACGAGCTGAGTGACATCACGCTACCGGAGAATCTGCCGCCCAAGCTCCAGGAGCTGGACCTGACTGGAAACCCCCGTCTCAACCTGGACCACAAGACCCTGGAGCAGCTCAAGTACGCTGCTGTTTCTCCGTACTTTATTGTTGTTGTTGTTGTTTCTCCAGCTCGCCCTGCCAGTGTGCATACATCTCATCTTATTTCTGGTTTTCTATTACACATCTTCATGATCAATGATCAGGTTTCCCAAAGATCATTGCTGTTTGTGAACTAACCTTTTGTGATAGAATGAACCATAAATAAAACCCCAATAGAGCCTGTCAGTAGCTGAAGAATCTAATCATCTATTTCATGTTTTGTTGTTTTTCAGTAATATCCGTTGCTTCCGTATTGATCCGCCTCCGACCTTTTCCTCCAACGAGGCATCTGGTGGGCCCGCTGTGTGGAGTCACGGGTACACGGAGGCCTCGGGCGTCAAGAATAAGTGAGTTCAACTCAAACAACCTCCCTCACACTCCACCACTGAAGCATCACTAATCCAAACCCTCCTGAGAATGCGCCTCGTTAAAGCCAGATGACTCGCAGGAAGGAGATATGGAAGCAGTGCTTATAAATCATGAACACTCGCATGCCCAACGTCTCTGAATGGGCCAAATACATTTAAATAAAATGAGATTTAAGCAAATTGCACATATCGCTGCCACATTTCCGTATGAATCTGCTTTGATGAAGTAAGATCTAATGATTCAGAGAAAGCTCTGTTTCCATGACGATTCCATAATGGTCGCGCTCGTGTGATCAGAGCATGAAGAACAGAGCAGATTCCTCAATGACGCCGTCCTCCGTTGTCCTTCCAGACTGTGTGTTGCAGCTCTTTCGGTCAGCAGTTTCTGCGGGAGCCGCGAGGCTCTGTACGGCGTGTTCGACGGGGACCGGAACGTGGAGGTGCCCTACTTGTTGCAGTGCACAATGAATGACGTGTTGGCGGAGGAGATCCACAAGACCAAGAGCGAGGAAGACTACATGATCCATACTTTCCTCGTCATGCAAAGGTACCTGAAAACAGCCGCCCTGTTCTTTAGAAAACGTCCGTAACATCAAGTCCAAACTCATGAATTTATTTAAACTGCATGTTTCAAATTTAGAAAAATCACACTCTCCCCTTTCCTATCATAGAAAACTGGGAACTGCCGGGCAGAAACTGGGTGGCTCGGCTGCTCTGTGCCACATTCGCCACGACCCCACCGACCCCAGTGGCTGCTTCACCCTCACAGCTGCTAATGTGGGAAAGTGCAAGGCCGTCCTGTGTCGCGACGGAAAGCCTCTGTCACTGTCGCTGCTTCACAACGTGGGCCTCGAGGAGGAGTACCGCAGGGTCAGGCAGCACAGGGCTATCGTCACCGAGGTAGAAACCCTTGAAAGCAGCCAACGTTGATGCGAAATGTAATTCTAGACGGGCAGCAACTAACCGGCGCGCTGATGTTCATGCTCTGCTCCACAGGACAACAAGGTGAACGGCGTCACCGATTCGACGCGAATCATGGGCTACTCCTTCCTCTACCCGTCCGTCATCCCTTGTCCCTACGTGCAGACGGTCACTCTCACCCCGCAGGACGAGTTCTTCATTCTGGGCAGCCGGGGCCTGTGGGACGCCGTGTCCCCCGCCGAGGCCGTGGAGGCGGTGCGAAACGTCCCCGACGGCCTGGCCGCCGCCAAGAAGCTGTGCACGCTGGCGCAGGGCTACGGCTGCACCGACAGCCTGTGCGCCGTCGTGGTGCAGCTCAGCGTCAGTGAAGACTGCTGCTCCTGCTGCTGCTCCGAGCCTCCCCAGCCACCTCCCAGCCCCGGCTTGGGGCCCTACCCCCCGTCGTCGTCCTCCGCCGCCGCCGCCGCCGCCAAGGAGCGGCCCTCGGACGGCTCCCTCCCCGTGCCGCCTTCCTCCTGCAGCGAGATCAGCAGCGAGATCAGCACCAGCGAGATGAGCAGCGAGGTGGGCTCCACGGCCTCGTCCGACGAGCCGCCGCAGAGCTCCTTGGTGCTGCTGCACGAGCAGCCGCAGCATCCCCACCTCCACCTCCACCTGCAGCAGCAGCACCACCCGCTGTCTCTGCAGCACCAGCAGGCGCACGCGAGCGCCCAGGCCTGCCAGTACCTGTTGCCGGGGTCAGAGCTGCCCACTTCCCGCAGCTGCTGTGCCCTCCATCCGGCCTGCTTGGCGGGCTCCTTCCAGAGGCAGCTGTCCAGTGCCACTTTCTCCAGCGCCCTGTCCGACAACGGGCTGGACAGCGAGGACGAGGAGCCCATCGCCGGCGTTTTCTCCAATGGGAGCCGCGTGGAAGTAGAGGCAGACATCCACTGCCTCAAAGCAGAGTCCGCCGCCGCCTCCTCCCCCCCCTGCTCCCCATCACCACAAACGTCACAACCCTCGTCTTCCAGCCAGGAGCGAACCACGCCGACTCTGCCCCCGCCTCCGCCCCCGCCATGCACCCCGGAGCCCCTAGAGGAGGGGATCGACACGAGTCCCGGAGAGGGTGAGAACGGGCTGGAGAGGGACGAGTCTTGGCAAGGAGTCGGAGCGGGAGGGGGGGACGGGGCAAAGTCTGCAGCCAAGAGGAGGGTTAACGGCTCGGTGGCACGTCAGGAAAAGAGTCACAACCTGATCGAGGTGGCGGCTGCCGCCCCCTCCAAGAAGTCCGGGGGCTACTTCACAGCTCCAGCACAGCCCGACCCGGACGACCAGTTCATCATCCCGCCTGAGCTGGAGGAGGAAGTGAAGGAAATAATGAAGCAGCATCAGCAGAAGCAGCAGAAGCCGCCGGCGACCGACCAGCCCACGGACTACTACGACACCCCTCTGTGAACCGCCCACGGCCTCGCCTCCACCCGCGCTGCAGCATGCACTGACTGCACCGTCGCCCCATCGACTGTTCCCATACGGACACAGACGAGTTTTCCACAATGCACATGGAAAGAGTTCATACTTTTTCTACACAGCCTTCCTCGCTCCACACAGCCTCATCCACGCAGATTCTACCCGAAGAAAGCAACCAAATGAGCCCTTTAATGACCCGCAGCGGCCTCCTGGTGTCCACGGTTGTGCCCCTCACACAGACTGTGTTTCCACGTTAGACACCCAGCTGAGTGCGTAATCATACTGGTCTCCCTGCAATAGCATTAGCTCGCCACACCTGTTAATATGGATAACAATTCCACAGTTTGTTTCTTTGTTTTGTAAGAACTTCTCATATCTTTTAATGTGAAAGCAGTGAGGTTGCTGGAAGAACCTTTTTAAAACGGAGACTCGTAATCGTTTTATTATGGGTGACGATGTCGACGGTGCAGCAGTGAAACCACACTTAACTGTTTTAGATAGGGCACTTAAACTACTGTATTTCTTCAGTAAATCATGGCTCTTGGCCTGAAAATGGCATAGAAATTTTTTGTAGAAATTTGCATACTAACTCCTAGGAGTTGCATACTCTTTATGGTGACTCAGTCACTTTTACTAATCTTCTCTGAGAGAAAAGGTGATTTTTTTCCCAATGATTGTAAATAAGAGAAATATTGTATACTGATGCTTTTAAAGGAACTACGTACCTGTGTGTCGGTGAAGGTTTTAGTGGTGGGGAGGACGTGAGGTGAGTTGTTATGGAGGTGTCACCCCCCACCCCCTTTATCTTACAATGTTGACCTACAAATACTACACACGCACACACACACACACACACACACACTGTATTTGTGCAATTACAGGTCAGAAACCCCGACATTCCATGCAACATACCTACACGGTACCACGGTCTGCTCCACTTTGATTGTGACGCCCTGAACACTAATAGACAAAATGTTTTGCATGCGCACTTGCATGCACGCACACACACACACACACACGCACACACACACGGACACTCACGCATAATATTAGTTCCACCTCCCTCCTACGGTAACTGTTATCACCGGCATGACTGTGTCAAGTTCAGTAATACAAACAAATATATCCACGTGGAAACGAGACAACACAGATGTTCCTGTCTTTGTTATAATAAATTTTAAATTTGTGAATATAAGTCATGTGGTTTGAATTTGTTTCTATAATGAATGGATGAAACAATTATATAAGACTTTTAGAGATTTTATTTACATCGATATTCTTCTTCTTCTAGTGTGTTTACACTGATTGACCAGAAGGAGGCGATGAGCACCTGCATTAAACACCTTAAATCTTTAAATCCCACGTCTGCTTTAAAAGATATTCATTGTCATCACTAAACTAAAAAAAGAGAGTAATTTCCTACATAAGATTCAGTTCATTGGAAAGATCAAGGTTGTCCACTACGGTTTCTGAGTGGCGCTCATGTTTCCCATGACCACGCTGCTCACCGCACTGCGCCGCTTATATTTCTTCTTCATGCAGATGACACTGACCACTGTAATCACCAGCATCGCTCCAAGTACGGACAGAGAAGAGGCAAGTGCAAGGGTGGTTTTATCCATGGTGGAGCCCTTGTACTGACAGCTGTTCCCATAGAACCACCAGTCGTCTCCCACCAAGCACCTGGGGAGCACAGAGAGGATGAGCGAGACCACCGCGAAGGTACCATGTACGAGCTATGTGTCTGCAGCTTAGTGAAGGCAGCCCAAACATCGCTCACCTGCAAGCCGCCGTCCCCTCGTCCTCCACGCAGACGCCGTCATTGAGACACTGCACGTTGAGGCAGATCTCGGGGGGGCCGGAGGTGGCCGGTTGCTGCGTCGTAGAAGGTAACGGCTGAACCGCCGTCAGGTGAGACACGTCTGAAGAGAGGAGGCAAACTGGATCACATGACTGACTGCAGCGTCGTGTGTGTGTGTGTGTGTGTGCACGATATATACGATCCCACAGGGAATGAATACGATATGAGTGTTTGAGACAGGATGGATGCATTTGATCCATGTTACCCTCCATGGTGAGGAGGAAGATGGCGTCTCCTCCCTTTATGAAATCCCTGCTCTTGGCTCTGAGGTGGGTGAGATACACGGCGGTGCCGGCGCCCGGCCCTCGGAAATACTTTGACCCATCCGTATGCGTGACCTCAACGCCCACCAGGCGAGGGTCGTCCCAGAAGTAACGGTCCGAGCCTGCGGGGCGTTAATGTCCTATTGTCAAGATTTCTCGTCTAATGTAGGAAATGATCATTTTACATCTTTTTGAGAGTGGGAGTCGCCGCACCTGTTGCCTTCATGTCGGGGTCGGTGGTGACGCTGCGCTGGTTGGACATGCGCTTTTGAATGTGTGGGTGTTGGTCCATCAGCGTCATGGTCATTTGTTTCCAGGGGCAAGGCCACGTTTGTCCCGTGTCCCCTTCCCGAGACACCAGGTGAGCGTAGGCCGACAGCTCGCCGGGGTAGCCCGCCTTCCCGCTGGGGTACAGCTCCATCTGGAAGGTGTAGCCCTCCTTAGAGGTGAACGGGGGGCTGAAGATTGACGTGTTTGCTGCTGTGCTTTCCATGACCTGACTGAAGTTCTTCACCCGCCATATAAACTCCGGGCAGGTGTTCTCAGAAAGGTTGATGTCATCCAGCGACAGGCCGCCCGTCGAGGGCCCAGAAGCCTCTTTGGTCCCCTGGAAAACCACACGGAATTTCGTCTTGACGTCCAGACTCACGTGGTGCAGTTGCCACTGCTCCGCAGGGGGTCCTGTTGGAGACGGGGACGTGTTTTAACCGAAAAGGTAAAAGCGTTTACATTGGAGCTTGAGCGGTTACAGAACTCGTAGTCACCCTCTATGATCTTTACAAGGCGCACTTTCCCATCGGGGTTCGCTTCGTCGTATTCTCTAACGTGGATCCTCAGCGCGGCGTTGGCTCCGGCGCTGTGGTAGTAGAAGAACTGCAGACACTGGTATCCTCTCTTGGGGTAAAGGAGCCGGCTCTCCAGCACGGCGGCGTCCCCGACGCTGGCGGCGCTGGCGTTGAAGTGCATGAAATACCCCGACCCTGAAGATCAGGACTCAACGTGATTAGTGTTGCACAACTTAAGCACTGGTTGAACGCTCACAGCATCGTGCAGCAAAGAACGAAGGCCAGGGTCACATTTTACAGGTCTATTCTAAAACCTCACACGCCTCAATGGAGAAACTGATTTGGTTGCAGTAATTGTTCCCTCTGTCCATACCGGCTGTGAAGAGACCCCCTCCTAAAGTTCTGTTGGGCTACACCGTACTTCTTTTAGAAAGGCCAGAGGCTCGCTGCCCTTTCCCTTGGTCCGCATCACGTGTCACGCGCTGCGTATCCGCGCCAGAATACTGTCACCTGTGCATTTGCCCACGTTGGAGTAGTCGGTGTCGGGACCCCCGTCGGCCTTGGTAACCCGCACCCAGTCTGCCATGTCTTCTTGCCCCTGGACCATTCCACAGACGTTCTCGCGTTCAAAGTCGCACGAGTCCAGAAAGGTGGAGCCCTGAGCTGGAGCACATTTCATGAACCCACGTGAAAAGGTGCAGAACTTTGGACTGCTATAAACTGACTGACTACGCACTAAGAAGAGTGTTTGGCTTATTCAAAGAGGATTCCAGAGATAAACCATCTGATGGACATCAGTGACAACAAAGGTGGAACAATCTGACACAACAGTTTTTGCAGAGCAGATGAGACGTTGGACTCTTACTGCAGTTGTAGAGGCGGTGCAGCTTGAGCAGGTCGCTGTCGCTGAACTCCATCCGCTGGCCAATGACCTCACTGAACGCAGGGATTTTGGTGACGATGGTGGGCTCCGTGCCGTTGCGGAAGGCGTTTTTACTGTAGTGCATCATGGATCCGTAGTCGTAGGCAACGCCCAAAGAGCTGGAGGTGCTGTCGTCGTACGTGTTAAAGTTGTGTTCTTTACCTGAACAAAGTGCAGTTACATTTTTCCTTCATACAAATGTGGTGAATCTTCAGTGAGGATTATCAGGATCGCTAATAAAAGTTGCTTATCAATAGTTGACACCTGTTCAAAAAGATATCTGACACATCAAAGTACTTTTCTAAATGATATTGATTTGATTTGTTCGTTGCAAGAGCGTCGGTCAATGCAGCCAAGATGCCACGACATGGCCACGCAGGGGCTGATACCGCTTTTTGCTTATCTTATCTCATGCTTATCACGCAGGCAACAAGTCTCCTGCTGCATAAGGTCCTACATCATAAACCTCCAGCCAGCATTATATGAACTGAATTGGTTTTGCTATTTCATCAGAATGTGCACTCTGCAAAAAGCATGAATGTCATTTATAAAAGACCTTTATTCTCCATCACATCCATACAAAAAGAAATCGTCATGAATGCAGAACTGTGTGGGGACAAGGATGGTCATTCTTTAAATTGATATCATTTAGTCAGTAAGTCCGTTCGTTACCGTCTGAGATTCGGTCCCACATGATGTTAACGTAGTCGTCCCGGTCGGCCCGGGACTGTTCATGCCAGAAACCCAGAGCGTGAAGGAACTCGTGTTCGATGGTGGCAATGCGGTCACAGTTGGTCCCTATTGACAATCTCTGCTTCCCAACGTGCCGGTTTCCCACGGAGGAGAAACAGCTTTCGGGAAGAAAAGAATCAAAGGCTTTTGTGGAAATTCTAAAATGCAGTATCCACACAAAGCATTAAAACTTGAGAAAGTACAGCGTGAAGAGGTTAGAAGGTCCTTTGGCTTTACCCGCTCCCTTTAAAGATGGAAATGTAGTTTGCTTCTCCGCTCCAAGGCTTGAAGTCGATGCAGGTCTTGAGCCGGTACTGCTCGAAGGCCTTCAGGATCACACCTTTTGCATTGATCTCTGCAGAGAGGACGATGAAATGTGATTAACCGCAATAATGTGTTATTTAAAAAAAAATGCCTCTGTTCTAATATTTACAGCTGTTAACGTGCAAAATCAATTCCCAAAGGGACGACGTGACTCCCTGCACAGCTTGTCAATAACCAAGCATCAGACACGCAGCATAAACCCGCCGGTGCACTTTCCCAACCTGAGATCTAAACCGCCACTCTGAGCAAGATAGAAAAGTTACAGGAATATCAGAAGGTTGTTTATGTTTCTGCTCGTTTAATTGTTGGATTTTCTTTTCTGTTTGTGGTCCTTTGACCGAACTGTTCTGAGTAAAAATACTAATTACAGTTGCTCCAAATATGGATTTGAATTATTGTTTTTTTTCCCACTTCAGACTGAGGATATTTCATGAAAGTAACAGTCCAATGAAGCATTGTTAGTACACCAAATAATAAAAAATGAAATGCTTTCTTTGTTAATCATTCAATTAGATCATTTTTGGATGTTTGCCAGATCTCTCACCCAAGTCCTCCTCCATGTAGTACGGGATCGTCTTCGGCCACCTGTACTCATCCCCTATTATGGAGTTACGAGTTTGCCGCTGCGGTGCCATTAGAAGGGTCAAAGTTACGCTCCGCTCCAGAACAGACAGTTGTGCCGGTGAACATTAGGAGCAGTTCAGAGAACGAACCTCATCGAGCACAATGTCCCCCTCCACCAGATCCAAGCCGGCCGCTGCGGGACGAGCGCAGGACAATTGGGGGAAAGTGTCACTGACTAATAATCCGGAGACCTGAGGTTAGAAAATCTCTGCGTACCTTCATTGATGTCAAAAATGTCAAGGTCCCGTCCACCGTCCACCTCGTAGTCTGTGAAAGTGAAAGACGCAAAAACAGACGTGAAAGTGTCGCTTTTAATTGTCGCCAACATCTTGCTTGACAAACGTCACCTACCCGGTACTTTGGCGGCGGGCTAAACAAAAGAGAAATAAATCCTACAGATTTACAAACGTATTCATTGACTTTATTGTTGTTTTACAAACAAAATAAGACCATTTCTCACCAAGCAAAGGGAAATCCCACAGAGAAGGTATGCGATGTGCAGGACAAACACACCCGAAGGTCTTCGTCCTGCCATGTCCAACATGTCCCTGACAGGGCAGCTGACGGGCGCCGAGCTGCTGCAGGAACGAAGAGCGCGGCGATCATTTACAGAGCTGAGTTATAAAGTAACTTTAATGTCGCGTAACACATCTTTACACTTTGCAGATAAGCCTGAAAGAGACGGAGGAACAAACCCATTTTAAGGCGGTTTTGTAATGTTTGTAATGTTAAATGCATGCGGTTTAATGCACTTTTTCTTATCATTTCCTTACTTATACAAGGACACATTGTAGTTACTGACATCCAATTGTTCCCTTTGGTGTGCTGATACATCAGGAAGCAGCACGGGTTTAATACTTACTTGTTCGTTAGTGCACTTTATGCTTAATATTTTTCTTTTTAACTTTTTAATATTTAAAATTTTTAACTTTATTCCCTTGTTTTATACTAACCCATAGCCTTATTCTACTAACCCATTGCATTAGCATTTCATTCTACTTTATTTTATTACTTGTGCACTGCTGTCTTGTCTGTCTACTGTCGCGCACTAACCGCCAAGACAAATTCCTTGTATGTTTGACATGTTTTGGCAAATAAATGTTTCCTGATTCCTGATTCCTAATTAAACAAATCATTCTCATATTGAGCCAAAATAAAACAACAAACTCGTTAAAGTGTCATTTTGAGTTGAATAAAGTGAAATGCAGAATCCTGATGTGCTTCAGCTGTTCTGTATCACTCTTTTCTTTCGACACATGTCAACACTTTCATCAGAGTCGCTGCTGTCACTTTGTAGGTCACAAACAGGAACTCCATCATCTCCAGCTGCTTCACAGAGTTTGTTCGGCACCGGCCCCCCTGCGGGTCTCCCTCCGTTATGTTTCAGCTACGTGCAAACACACAAATCCTGCTCCATCTGATGAGACGATGCCGTCTCCGACACTGAGGAGCCTGTTGAGACCTTTGACACCATCGTCACATGACCTCGTGTCATTTATGTCTGATCAGAGAATAGTTGTATCCTTTATCCTTCAGACCTGCTGCACAGGAGGACGTCATCACAGAGCCGCTGCAGCTCGGGTTTGACTTTAATGAGCAGTGGGATCCCAGCGCGACGCTGACATGCCGTCCTCCGTCCTCTGTCCCGGGTCTTCTCTCAAACAGGAAGATATCCGCCACGTTTATTAGCAGTGATGTAATTCCCAAGACAAAGTTCTGGATCGTTGCCTTCAAGCCGCAGGATGGTGTCAGAAATCGATCGGTGAGTTTTGTTTTTCAAATAAGTGAAGGAGGAAAGTTTTTGTCGACAAAGCAGAAAGAATGAACAAAAAACACAGCTGTCAAATTCATCTTGACCCAAGCTGATCATCTTTTTGTAGCATTTCAGACTTTGTTGATTACTTATTGATATTTCATGCCTAAAAAAAAAAAGTATTATGGTAACAGATTAAAGTAACGGAGCAGAACCGATGGCATTCAGGCTCTGGGTGGATCTTGACAGATAAGTAAGTGCAGCACCTGAGACAGAAATGCACTTTGTGATTAACACATTTACAGACGAGGTGATGATCGCTGCTCTCTGCCTCCTCCATGACACAGATGGAGGTCTGACTTTATTATGAGAACTCTTCTCTTTCTAAGGGCCGCGGCTCGGTTCTGGGGCCCCGGTTTTCTTCCTTGTATTTGTTGCCTTCAGGACGCCATCATTTATTCATCTTTCCGGTGCATTCCGTGAGGTTTCAGGTCATCTGGGCTGCTGTCTGAACAAAACATCGTTTACAACTTAATGACCATAAGATGGAGGTTCTGGGTATTGCAGCAGATGAAGTTGTCAGAAGATGTCAAGCAGAGGTCCCTGTATCCTCAAAATGGGCCCTGACAGGAAAGGTTTGGGAACCAATGGGTTAAATCAATGCTGTAAGTGCTGTCACTCTGTTTTTAGTGTATATTTGATGGTTTTCTTCTTCCATGTCATCCTATTGGCCCTTTGTGTTCATCTAAATACACTTTACTTACATTTCTTGTGATTTATTAAGTTCACGCCCTTTTCATTCAATCATCAAGTAACAAGTCATTTGTGTACTTGGTCGGCGTAGCTCAGGTTCATATGGGCTGTTTGGCTTTGATTTACATGCAATGATAGGAAACTTTAACTGTGGCCACTTCAGACAATCTCTATATGAAAGTGGTCTTTAGCTTCACGAGTTGAAACACATCTAACTGGAGGGTTTGACAGAATGCAAGTAGGTGCTTTTCCAATGTTCGCTTGGAAAAGCACCTACTAATCTTAGGGTTTCCACGGCAAAAGCAGTTACTTCTGCCACACTGACTTTTCCAAACCTGTTTGCATCCACCAACGCTTGATGATGATGATGATCAATTTGAGGAAACGCGACAAAACTATTTTTACCAGTCGAGTCAAACATTACTTCTTACAAGAGAAATGACAGAAAACCCAGCTGCTTTATTATCCCATTAACAGCTCTATAATACTAATAGTACTAACATGTTGGTAGGCTCCTCATGCAGCTCTGACGTTACCCTGCTCCATGATTTAAGATGCTCTACAGGAACAAATTCAAAGTGTGATGTTCATATGCATGTCGTCAGTATTACAGCCAGATGATCTCTGCCAGATCCGTCCTGCTGTGAGCTGTTTCAACACAGCAAGACTTCAACCGCTGCACCGACGCATTGAGAGGCAGCTCACGTCCCACCATCACAGGGGGCTTGTATCTGTACTTTCACTTGATTAAAACTTGCACAGCGTGGAGTGCTGGACAAGATATTTTGCAATCAAAACTTGATTTAATAACAAATGGCCTTGATAAAATCTAATAGTACTTTCACCCAGTGACAACTGCAAAACGTAAACCTACCCGGTTTGATATGAAACATATTTTTGGTTCAGAAAAGCATTGTTGGTTTGCAGAAATGTACAAATATCTAAATCACTGTCACACTGTGGTGACTGATTTTCATCCCCAATGAAAGAGCCGATAATTACGTGCATGAAGTCATGCTATGTTTCAGAAAATGATTAACATTCTCCCCATTCCGCTGCAGCCGTGACTCGTGACTGCGTGCGGGTAAAGGTTGTGTTAAACGCTCATTGTGTATCCTCATTGTGTAGCACTTTGTTCCTGCAGTGTTTCATATGAGCGTTCATCTCCTTCTGTGACCACATACTGAAAACTGTTAAACCTCTAATGCGCCTTTAAAGCTTTTGCTCTGTTTTATTATCAGAGTGTGTGTGTGTGTGTGTGTGTGTGTGTGTGTGTGTGTGTGTGTGTGTGTGTGTGTGTGTGAAGGTAAAGGGCTTGCGAGGCAATATTTCCAACTCTTTTGAAGATGATTCGTCTCTGCTTTTAAGGTGTGACAACATTTTTGGTATTTTCAGGGACAACTGCCAGTATACGTGTCCTTTCACTCACTACGATTCATCTTATTCATTTTTTGTGGGCTTATGCAATATCAAGTTCTAATTAAAATGTGGTGTGAGTGATATTGAATAGGGAGGTTTGAAGGGCTGGAAATGACACACTGCTGAAACAATAACGACGCACATTTAAAGAATTCAACCCATGTGACGCTTTGACATGAAACACTTCTTGAACTGAAAGAATTTCTGTTTAAATTCCAGAAAAAATTCCAAACGAGGTCTCAGAGAAATGAATCAGGGCAGGAAATGACTGAATCAGAGATTGATTGATATTTGGAAATTCACAGATTCATGGACATTGAATAGAAAAATAAAACGTTTCCAGGTTAAAGGTTCACAAGTCCATGGTTATGAATTATTATTTTCTTTTTAAAGTGAACTAGTCTCCTTCAAACGTACCGGTGGAGGCCGGTGGTTTGGTGGGAGACGGAGCGCCGCTGGGATCTGCAGCCGTCCTTCCCCTCTGGATGCGACTCGCCGCCACTCTGACTGCTGCTGAGGAGAGAGAACAACTGGAGCGCTTCAAACGGGCTTCACAGGGGATTCCAGCTGTGTGGGACCTTCGTTTGGACTGACAGGCCGTTGGAGGACGAGGATTTATGTACTTTGATCGCTGACTCGCAGAGGTAAGGCTCTTCTATTTCTCATTAATTGAACCTAAAAGACCTCGACTGCCTCTATGTGCCGTTTCTGAAACGAAGCACCGGCACCAACGAAATGCACTTTACTGCCGACTCCGTTTGAATGGATGAAGCACCTGTTACACGCTACACGTTCGGCTTTTGCTAAATCAGAAATACAGCTGCGATCAAAGTTACTAAAAATCCAATAATGTGACTGATCTCATCAAGTGTTTGATGTGGATTTGACTGTTCCGTATTATAAAATCACTTGTTCATTGACCCTCTTGTCATCTATTGATCGGTCAGTCGGTGGCCATGGAAACGTGGAGATGTGATCACACAACCATCTTAAAGGGACAGTAATGTGTTGGTCCTCTTCTTTCAACTAAATGCTCACGCAAACCAGAATACATCCAAAAAACTCATTTCTATTCTATTCCGTACGCATGTTTGTAGAAGCCCTGTTTGTGACAACATTAAGCACACAAATAAAAAGCTGATGTATCATTATAAACATTACTGTTCAACCTCTTCAGCTCAGCTTTCCGATGTGGCCGTCAGATGAAGCCGTTGACTTCCACTCCAACATACCGGTGCCGGTGGACGTAACGGTGGCTGTGGTCTACTCTCTCTTTGGTGAGTAAAGTCAACACCATTTCAAACCCACGTCAATGCTGTAATGTACAACTCATACTCAATAACACAGACACTGCTGTCGATGACTTTTCTACTTGTTCTGCTCAAGCTGAAGCGAGTCACAGCCCGAGCTCACGCTGCGCAGCCTCTTCATCGTGTATTTCCATGCACACGTTTTACACATTCCCCTTCAACTGGTATATAATACTACGTACGTGCATCACTTCCATCTACGTTTACTCTGTTTATGAATGAATTCCTCACTCGTCTGACCTCTGATAATGGAGAGAGAGAAACACGCCAACTATCATCCCGGGTTTGGATCGTCCTGGGACAATCCACCATGACAAATAAACCCACAAAACAGTTGAGATTTGAGAAATACTTTGTGAAATCCCCCGTTTACTGATACAGATTTGACAGTACGTATTTAAGCAAGTTCACTTTACAATGTTTAAATGCTGTATTAGTTAAGAGTGCTTGTAGGGCTTTCTGTGTGCTGTGGACTTAAAGGCCGATCCGTTTGACCTGCGACCTGAGGGGAGGAAACCCGTCCGATTGAACCGCTGCGTTCACTGACCGTTGCTGGTTGTTGAATAGGAACCACGAGGCCACCAGAACACTTCAGAGTTCTCACGTCATTGATACCGCCAAACACGTTAATAAAAATAAATCTGGTATTTTTAGGGACTTATACAAAAAAAAGCCCCTTGTGATAGTTAAAATACTTTAAATGCTTCTGGCTCGTTGTGATTCGATTGTGCTTCATTTGCTCTGCAGGAGTCTGTTCTCTGGTTGGCAACAGCACGCTGCTGTACGTCTCGTACAAGAAGAGGCGCCTCCTGAAGCCCGCCGAGTTCTTCATCATCAACCTGGCCGTCAGTGACCTGGGCCTGACCCTGTCGCTGTACCCCATGGCGATAACTTCCAGCTTCTATCACAGGTATTACACGCAGTGTTAGCAGGGATCAAAGGCACGAGGGTCCGTTGGGAGAATACGAAACTGTAGGGAAGATCGTTTATTCCGTAGGTTGGTCTTTTAAATCAGACAGCCTTCCATATTTCATGGTTCGTTTAACGTCGTGGTTGGTTAGCGGTGTGATTGCCTGTGGCTTCACAGATGTGGAGTGTCACGCTGTTCCCCTCTTCTCCCTCTCGCCCGTCGGTCTTTCTTCCTGGTTTCTCTTTGTCACATAACCTCCTGTGCAGGTGGCTGTTTGGGAAGACCGTGTGCTCCGTATACGCTTTTTGCGGCATGTTGTTTGGCATCTGCAGCCTCACCACTCTCACGCTGCTGAGCACGGTGTGCTTTGTGAAAGTATGCTACCCGCTCTATGGTAAGTCTTCACATAACCTATTCATGTCCAACCAAATGCCACAAGATTTTAAGTGGCTGATTCATCTGTTGCAGGACACTAAATTATAACCCCCTCCCCTTTATAGAGCCGTGCACGATGGCTTTCTTTTATTACTCCACAAGCCTTCCAACCCCTTAAACCCTTAAAACCTCACGATTAATTGCTCCTTATGTTGGTGTACCTCAAGGTCCACCACTGGGTCCGCTGTCACTTAGCTTGTCCCTAACTAACCTGCCTACTGTACACTCTAAAAAATGTCACCGTAAATTAACCGTATTTTACTGGCAGCAAAGACGCCAGGAATTTACCATTTTTTACGGTATAATACCGTAAATGTGTTTGTGTTATAAATAAACATCATCGTATCTCATTTTGATGACTTACAGGACCTGTTTTTCAGTGGCTGACGTGGGCTTCCATACATTAACCTTCAACAGATGTAGATGGATTGTGATTCACTGCACTTGTATTTCCACCACTTAATGAAATATATGTAACATGCAGTTGAATTACGGTAGTCTGCTCTTATCGTAAATTGACAGGTGTAACTGTTTATTCATGACATTGGCCGTTAATTTACAAGCATGGGATGGAAATTTAACGGTATGTTAGTTATTATGACATAATGTAAGATACCGTTAGAAATGCACCGTAAATTTACAGCAATTTGTTCATAGTTTGGTTGTCTTTCTTTAATTTGTGGGGAATTAAATGCAAAAGTATACAGTTATAAGGAAACGGTAACATTCTGGTATTTATAACACAAAAACAGTTACCAGTGTCGACTGCCAGTAAATTGCAGTTAATTCACAGTAAAATTGGTAGAGGTTTACGGTAACATACAGTAATCCATTATACGGTAACATACTGTATTCTACAGCAGTATACCATAAAAAAACAGCAAATTACTGGCATCCGCTGCCAGTATCTTACCGTTAATTGACTGTAAAGTTCACGCCAATTTACTGTAATCCATGTTGTGGTAACATAATGTAAAAACCATTTACGGTATTATACCGTAAAATAACGGTAAATTCCTGGCGCCCTTTTCCCAGTAAGTTACCGTTAATTTACGGTAAAACATTTTTAGAGGGTAGTTGTGCCAGAATCTTTCTTCTGACAGGGAACAGGTTTAACTGGGCTCACGGCCGCCTGCTGGTTGGCTGCACGTGGCTCTACGCGCTGCTGTTTGCCTGCTGCCCGCTGGCCCACTGGGGGAAATACGGACCGGAGCCGTACGGCACTGCCTGTTGCATCGACTGGCGCCTTTCCAATCAGCACCCTGCGGCCCGCTCCTACACCGTGGCGCTGTTCATCTTGTGCTACATCGTTCCGTGCTGTGTGATTGTTGCTTCGTACGCGAGCATTCTGGTCGCGGTGCGCGCATCCCGCAGGAACATGGAGCGCCACGTGTCGAGGCACACGCACATGAGCAGCCTGCAGACTATTATTGTGAAGGTAAGTCTGACCAACCAATATAATTACATCAATCATGTCAAAGATATGAACTGCTTTATATAATATGGACTATTAAGCGCTTTTAATATTCTTTAAAACTTAAGGGGATTAAGGGGAGAATATCATTTGTTCTCATCCTTAAGGACACGAGGCAATTGGCAGTGACCTGAATAGATCCTCCAGTGATGGAGCTTCTCATTAGCAGGAACTGGCTTTGGTTGTTGTGCGATGGACCAGGAGGGACTGATGCCTTTACTGATAAATGATCATCGACATCATGATCATTATCATCATCATCATCATCATCATCATAAGCTTTTTAGAATAACTCACAGGAAGAAAAGGTTCCTGTTGGACAATAAGCTTTTCAGGTTGTAAAAATGAGGCTCACGTTCAGTCTGCCATCCCAGCCAGTCCCTGTTTAGGATGTGTGCTTCTAAAAGATAAGTTGGGTGAAATCTTTATTTTTCTTATAGTCACCAAATAATCCACATATGTACATCATGATCAATTTGTAAAGTTATGCCTCTTCTTTCTAAAGTATGTTGTTCCATTTCAAACAGCACAAATTACACTTTTCTCTTGCGTGATGTTTTCCCTGCAAGCTGAGCGTTGCTGTCTGCATCAGTTTCTTTGCCGCATGGAGCCCCTACGCCGCGGTGTCGATGTGGGCGGCCTTCGGACACATCGAGAACATCCCTCCTCTGGCGTTCGCCTTGCCGGCCATGTTCGCCAAGTCCTCCACCATCTACAACCCAATCATCTACCTGATGCTGAGGCCGAATGTCCGCAGGGTGCTGTGCAGGGACCTGGCTGCTCTGTGCAACGCCTTTCTGAAGGACTGCCTCTGCCATCGGTGCTGCTCCAAGACCGAGATCAGTGCCGGACTTCCCTCGGTCAGCAGAAAGGACGACAGAATCCCTCCGTCCGACGCCTGCGCTCGGCCTCCCGCGGCAGCGTTACACGGCTGTGAGAGGCGCATGGACGCGTTTGAATGCTTCAGACACTACCCCCAAAAGTGCAGCGTCGCTAACTTTGCTGCCCCGTGTGAGGACCAAGACGCCCCACTTCCCCCAACACATAAGCAGAAGACTCCAGGCGTGTGCCACAGGACGTCTCTGCTGGCCGTCATGTGTGCCAAAAGGACTTCGGAAATAGACAACTTCCAAATTAATTTAGAGATGGTTCCGGGACACGCAAAAGTGGCTTGGCCCTGATGTTTGACCTTAATCCGAGATGTTCACAGATGATCTCTTGTGTTCTTTCGGGGAATCTATTTAGCAATGCTTCTTCAGGGTTTTGGCAGAAGCAAAGAAACGTATTTACCTTTTGTCCCCCGCTGCACTTTTTTTATTTAAATACAGACAGCTACAATTTAAGAAGAATTCAATCCCCGAGTCTGGACTTTAGCTCTTCCAGCAACTTCATTTTCTATTATTACCCGATGTTTTACCTTAACACATCTGGATTTAAGGAAGTGCTTATAATTTACTACACGTTTAACCACAGGCACTTTAAATCCCCTAAAAACTTGATTTCAAAAGTATTTCTCCACGTCCTGAATGTTAACGAATCTAGAAGCAACGATGTGCTCATCGTGTTCCAACTCACCAACTGGCTGCTAGCATCGCCTTAATGAAGCCGAGGGGAAGCTGACTGGGAACAGTGGGAGCATGAGTCACTGTCTTCTGGTTGTGCAGCAGCAGCATGCGTGTGTGTGTGTGTGTGTGTGTGTGTGGTCTCATTAGAACAGCTGTTACATGACGGGTATGTGGTTCATGATGCTCGATCAATTATCGGTGTGCACACAACGCTGCTGCATATTATTGTTAATACACTGCACGATATGAGTGTGTCGAACTGTTTGCATTCTGTATGTGTGGCAGTGTTTGTGTCTTTAGTTTGTCTGCCAAACCATATTGTACATTTTCATGTCACTACGATGCAGAGAAAGGGAACAAAGACACATCACACCATCGGTCCAGTCTAAATATGCAGCTGTAGATAAATCCATCAGAGGAGAATCAAGTTCCGTGTAACCTGTAATTGCTGTGCTGTGATTCCATTGTGTGGATTAAACGTGATTGTGTTGGGATTCAGGCCTCTGGACCAGAACCATTGGAGTCCAGCGGCAGTTTCTGTTCCACAGCCAAAGATCGACCTTCATCAACGGTCATCAGCGGTCATCTAATGGAACTCGGTCTGGAATACGCTTGTTTACCTGATTCTTCATGACTTGTTACGTCGTGGGGCTCATGCGTTTAATTAGATTTAATCTGTCTCAATAGGATACAATTTTACCAGCGTCCCTAAATCTGACGGAACAATGATGTAATTATTGTTAAGAAACTACAAAGCCTGTTTACATTTGATCAATAATCCCTTTTGGTGCGAGAGGATTGATTCTCTTGTGTTTACTGATTATTTAACTCAGCAGGTGAAGAACAGAAAAGGCATCACACTATCATCACATCTGTAATCCATTAAACGGGACTTCAAAGGGGAAACATCTGGGAGTTAAGATAATAATAATGTCGGTTTGTCTGTTGCACATCAGATTGAGACTTGAGTCCTGAAGGGAAAAGTGCTTTTAAGTGATGTGATATTTTGTGTTTCCCAATTCAGTGGCATATCGAGTCATAAATCCCAGAAAATAGCGATTATCTTACTGCAGCACTTACATCTCAATGATGCTCTTTTTAATGGGATTTCGATACAGATGCTTTAAATAAGATCCGTTGTTACCACAAACTTTAGGTCTGTTAGTGTTGATATTGTTGACCCTTCAATCTCATTTAGAAGTGAAAGCCCTGAAGATGTTTTCATTTTATTAAAATCCATTAACTAGTTGCATACAATAACTAACAGATCAGAAGTAAACACTCAACTAGAAACTGTTCAGTGCCGTTTATGAAATACATTTCATTTGAAATTTGAATGTTTCAAGTGTAAAAATGGCGTTGACACAGAATCAGGTTCGGGGAAAGCTGCTGTTGAGGGATGAGATTGTGAGACGACATTAATATCGTCTTTAATGGAACAATGCAGCACCCGGATCTCAGCTCAGTGAACCCGCTCACTCTCACCCGCAGCTTGGTAGTATTTCATATACCTTTACAGAAATGAGAGCACATTCAGTGATCTAAAGCACAACACAGACTTCTATCTACTCGGGAATAAAAGGTCAACAGAGGCTTGTTACATAAAAATGACACTTTATTTTTTTTACCGTCTTGTCAACAAATTTACCTGTTTTCGTGAGTCTTTGTGTTTCTCCCACATGACTCCTCTTTATTTAAAGCTACAGCAACTGTGAAAACGTATTACACAACCCTTGAGAGAATACCAATGTTTCTCTTTCAAAATATGACTTTTGTATCAATTCTTGTTCCATCTCCCACGTGAATACAAAAGGCAATTATTACTTGATATTTAATAACATACAATGATTATGAAATCCTATGATGAGTCAAATCTGAACCTCGACCGTGTGAGTTTGATAGTCAGTTATTTGAAAAGGCACCCAGCGCTTATAGACCGTCACAATAAAGGTCCAGTGATGGTTCTAATCCGTAAACATGAGCTCTGTGGTCATTATGATGATCAGCAAATAGTTTTTTTCCTACTAAGATGAAGCTGAAGCTGAGATTTAGCACCAACATTCTACGCACGTCAGAGACGATACATGAACCCAAAGGTAATGGGTCAATAGTGGTTTTGGTCTGTTAAATGATTCAAACCGTTCAAAAACTGCAACCATCGCAGGTAGAAAGTCATTTGGAGTGATGATGGGAAGCTCATCGGGCCGAGGAGGAAGAACAGCAGGTGTCACAAATGCTGTGGATGACGTCTACCTTCACTTGGCCCTCCAGAGCGCGACAAAGCTTCCCGATGGTGCAGCCCATCCTCCCGTTCTTCATCTTCCATTGCTCCAGCATCTGGTGCACCATCTCTGGCAGGCCGTCGCGGTCACAGTCATGCTCGATGGTCTCTATTTCCACGGTGGTCAGATCCAGTCGGCGCGCAAGACGCTTCCATTTGGCTCCGACGTTTTTCCTCACCAGATCCAGGTGCTCCTCGGTCACAGCCCGCTCCTCTGAAAGACACGCGGGACAAATCTATCAGGTCCAATGAGGTGTGTTACTGCTAATAAACACTTGGATGACATTTTCTAACATTCGTATCGATAATGAAGGAAAATGGAAGATGCAGCTCTGATAACAAACAATCGTGTTGGCAAATCGAGCAGCAACAAAGTACGTTTTTGACTCACCACATTTCACAATGCGTTCTGTGATGGTAGACGAAGCCGGGTCGGATGGCCCCGACTCTAAACTACTGATGGAATCGTAACTTCTGATATGCATCGTGTTGTTGCTCCCAATCTGGATGCCGCTGGCATTGGTTATCATGAGAGATGCTGGAACGGCACGGAGCAACAAACCAATACACCAGAGTCAAAAGGTGACAGGAGAAGCAGTGAACACCTCAGGCCTGTAGATCTAGAACCTACTGAACAAACACGCGTGTTGGTATGTCAGTACCTGAATCTTGTTGTGAGAAGCCCTTGTTAGGGGTCAGGAGACGCCCGGGGCCGAAGGCAGGCGCGGACGTTTCAGACACAGGGTAAGCTGGACACGAACGCTGGCGGTCGTAGTGGGAAAGTGGATCCTGCTGGTTGAACTGGGATAGAGAAGGCGAGCCGGCAGACGTCGACATGGTGTACCACGACGGTGGGGAAGAGTTCTGGGAGCCATGTCCCGCGGTGGGGCGATAACAAGCCTCTTCCTGGCTGCTGGGCTGCACCGGCCCCGCTTTTGTCCAAGAAAGGACAGAGGACGCGGCGGGTCTGTCAGGCTCCGGTCGCCTGGCGACGTAATCTGAGGGGCTGACGTGGTTCGGCAGGAAAGGGTGCGAGTGGCTGTGAGGGAGGCAGCGGGCGCCGCCCTGCTGGTCCTCGCGGTAATAGCTGCCGTGTTTGTGGTACTGGAACTCCCGGGCAAGTTTCTCCTCCAGATCTGAAGGCGTCTCGCCCGCCTTTGCATCCGTCTGGAGAGAGTCCACGGGCGGCTGGTGCTGGAGGCCGTGCAGGTCCTCAATGCTGGCTTCAACCGGCTCGGGTACACTTCCGTCTGAACTCAGCAGCGGTGCTGGACAATCTGCAGGGCGAGGAGAGGGGTGGAAGCAATGAAGCAAAGACGCGTCTTGCTTTCCGGGCGTTTGGAACATTGATTAGCGTTAGCATTAGCGTTACCAACAGTGCTCACCAGCGGATAAACAATCCTGGGTCATTGACAAAGACTTCATCTTCTCAATGAGTTCCTCTGGGCCTTCATATATTTTCTGCAGACAAACCACAAGCATCATTACCATGTGAAATATTCAGAGTTTTCATCTGACTTTCTGTTAATCTCAGATCTACTGCTTACCCTTAACAACGCCCAATCCTCCTTCGAACATATATTTTATACGTACCCTGAATTCCAGTACATCGTCCTCTACGTGGGGTTCAAGCCTCTCCGCGTAGACGGGAAGGAAGAAGTCGTAGCCCTCTGGGAGCAAAGGGAGGGAAGGGATGAGACGTAATCAACTGAAGGGGTCAAATGCTCGAAACTCAAGAACAGAAAAGAAGAAAGGAAATACAACTTCTTCTTTCTTGATCCACATAAGAACATCCGCTCTAATGTACACAACACAGTCCTAAAGTGCACCTTTAAATGTGGGCCGTTGCAGCGGATTGTGACCCCAGCACCTCCTCATAAGCGCAATCATCTCTTCGAGCGCGTCGCCGGGAATCAGGCTCTCCTCCGGTCGTTCCCCCTTCTGGACACACTGGCTGATTTGTTCTTCACTCCTTGCATCTGGACAAAGACACGTTTGGTTGTCTCCTCGAGGTGAGCAGTTTGAAACTGTGAATATGGTCTGATTTAACTAAACAGCAGCAAACCAGACACGGTGTACCTATTCATGGGTAACACGTGTATTATCATGGGGACTTTGGCGTGTTTTGACTTCCCAACTCACTTGCGTAGGGCTCTTCCCCCGTGAGGATCACCCAGAGCACAATTGCAAAGCTGTAGACGTCGGACTTCTCAGTGGAGGCTGTGTGTACGCTCTGCAGGTGCTCAGGGGCCATGTAGCTCAGGGTGCCGGCCCCTCTCACCTCTGCTGATCGCCCCATGAGACTCCTCTTGCGAGATTCCTCCTTCGTCAGTTTGCTCCACGTGCGGCTGGTGGCCAGGCCAAAGTCTGCAATCTAGAAAACACGCAGGAGGGTGCTTACGGTTACCATGGCTGCACACGCTCGGGGGGTCAGAATCACACGCGTGTCATGGGCCTCGGTGTGACTCACCTTGATGTGAAAATCCTTGTCCACTAAAATGTTTCCTGGCTTGATGTCCTTGTGTATGACTTGCCTCTCCGTGAGGTACACCATCCCTTCCAGAATCTCTGAGATGAATCTGCCCTTGATGGACAGCGGCACGGCGACCTGTGGACATTTGTGTTTTTGTATTAATGCATCCATTCCTGCAGCTGCAAACCACGGATGCAATGCGGAGGCGCTGACGGAGTCACGGGTATTGAACCGGACAGTTCATAAGGCGCTGACCGTTTCCAGCAAGCTTGACAGGTTGCCTCTGGGGATGAGTTCCATAACTAGTGAGCAGTCTCGGTCTTCCATGATCACCCCCAGCAACTTCACCACCCGGTCATGGGTCAGGCTCGCCATGACGTTCCCCTCCTCCAGCAGCGACTTTTGACTCCTCCTGGATTGATGGAGGTAGAAGTTGCGAGGACTTAGTGGGTTCAGGGGAAGAAACTGGGACGCAGCAATGCGATACTTGGATCCGATGTCAATCATGACGTGATTGATCCCCATCAAATAGCGTCTTTGACATCATCATTATAGAATTCTCTATTTCTGCTATCAAGTACCATAATTCAGACAAGCCGCAGCAGATGTGTAAACAGATGTTATGTTCAGGGAAACAAATAGGCATTTTGTATTTGGTACACTAGAGATTTTAAGTTTTGCTGGACGTACAGAATCTAAATCCTAAATGACGCGTATTTCCACCACTGGGATGAAAATCAGATCCCAGGTCATCACTTTGAGAAGGTCTCTCATCATAAGGACTGTTTTGTTTCATCGCAGTGGGGGAAAAGGCCTTTGAACGTGTCCAAAGTGCATTTGAAACACGAATATGAATTTAGTTCTTCTCAGAGAAGCGGATCAGTACGTGGAAGCATCGATATCTGAAAAACATCCGCATTCCAGAGAGACTCGTTCACAGCCGAAGCTCCTTCCTAACGAACGACACTTGGCGATGAGGCCAAACTGAACCGAGCGGAGCTGCGCGCAGAGTTCTGGGCGACGCGGCGCATGACTCCTGCGCGCGGGGAAAACCCGGCGGACACGCGCAGAACTTACGCGTTGCTCAGCGGCCCCGTGTACATGGTCTTCAGCACCACCTGGCCGAGGGTGACGTGGTAGCACAGGTAGACTTCTCCAAAGCTTCCGTAGTCCAGGGGCTCTTTTTTGATGAGATCGGCCGACCTCACGTGGAGCGCGGACGGCGGCGCGGTGGCCATCGCCGGTCAGCCGAGCGACACACACACTCACACTCACACACACACACACTCACAAACTCACACACACACACACTCACAAACTCACACACACACCGCAACAATACGCATAACAGAGTGGCCACACCTGGAATATTAACGAGGCAACGCAAAGAAAAAGAAAATGCAAATACGCGGATGAGACGAGGGGGGAGACGCGGACGTGGGAGACGTCCGAGTGCGTGACGAGGAATCCAGGAAGTTCTCGAGAAGTGAGGAGCAGTGACGCTCCAAAACGAAACACAGAACAGATGAGGAAGTAAGAACAAAAAAACAAAAAAAACATTCCCCCTTTATCTTCTTTTGTTTTCCTTGTTGGAGGCAAGTTCGCTGCTTTCTGTCGGGTTACAAAAATTACACACATGTAAACTGATGGACAGTATTTCAAAATACATTATGAAATAATTAACGAAATGATCCACATGTATCAATACTCTCCAGGACTATTCATTTGAATGTACATGTTGTTTTGTCGGTGTGAATAGGGCTCTGGTAGCGTTTAAAAACCCGGAAATGAGTTGACATCTGAGCACTTCCGGTTTGAAGGAGCATTTTCTTTTACGGTTTTTAGTTGGATGCCGAAAATAAATCAGTGGTAAAGTTTGAGGAAGGAACTTTTAAAATGTGTATCAAAAATATGACAGTATATAGTTAAACCCGGAGATTAAACATTGGAACGTTTTAGTCTGAAAGGGCTTAACGACGTGCAACTTTATGTTGACGTAGTGACGTGTGCAAAAGCAAACGCGTTTAATTTGACGTGTTTCATATTAATATGAAATGCATTCTACTCCTTACGACACTACTACTCCTCCTTTGCTTTACTGCACAGACTCAAAATGATCTTTCTTCCCCTTTGTGGGGCATTAAACACACACGTGACGTAAAATGAATTTGGCTTTATTGCTTGCAGTGTAGATCTTCAGAAAGTTATTTTACAGTGAACCCTTGTGGTTGTACTGCGCCACTGCAACTATGCCCAACATCTTTGCTCCAGCCGACCAGCAGGAGACGCAATATGGAAATATTAATACCCCGCGCCCACGTCCCACCCAGCAGCACCCAGCATTCACTGCACCCAGTAGCTGCTGTGACGGTCCCCTGTGGCGTGGCCTTCAGGCTGTTACAGAGTTCTTTATACATGGAGACATACAAATGGGACAAACTAATCATTTTCAAACACAAATGTGGTGCAAAACAATGCAGATTCATTCATAATGCATACAGGTCAATCCATAGTATCGACTGGTCAGATTCTATTAACTAATAATAAAAGGTTAATTGTTGGGGCAGGACTATAAGACCAAAAGTGGGTAACATGATGAATTGATATTTTAGTTTAATTCAATTATTTATGTTTTAAAAAATCACTCCATGATGTATATTCTCTCGTAAGCCAACTTCTGATATTCATCATTCCGCCCCATTAACATAAACTGTTTTATAATGTTTACATACATATATGTTATAATAAAAAGTGTGAAACAGAGATGCTCGCCAAATCTGAAAGGGGACAAACCTTGTTGTAACTGCAGAAGTGTGAAGCAAACTACAAGCCGAGTGGCCTCCACCGTCCTCATACAGCGGCTTGAACCATCTCCATGACGATGACTAACAAACACGCGTTGGTCTGACGGGTTTACAACCGCCCGCCAAGCTTCATATGCACTTCTATTGCATCACTCCAAATAAGCTTCCCCACTCATACCTGGACACCGACCTGGGGTTCAACGGGTGCTGCTGTCTCTCTTGGCCAAATAAATAGAAAAACACAGAGAAAGACGGGGGGGGGGGGGGTACGTGTTTTGGTTTCATGGCAAGTGGAACCTGCGTTGACATATTACGACGTTGACGTGGTTTCCGTCGAGGCCGCCGATTCCGTGGGGACTGTGGGGTCAACGGCGGGCGCGGCCGTAGACGCCGCCGTGACCGAGGCTGTGGGGGCGGAGGTTGAGCCGGGCAGGAGGGGGACCCCCCCCTGGGGGAGGAGAGGCGGCAGCTGGGAGGGCAGCATGGTAGGTAGAAGGGGTAAGGGGGCCAGACCTGGGAAGTTGAGGGGTGGGAACGCTGCCAGAGAGGGTACTGAAGAAGAGGTTACAGAGGTCAGACAGATACAGATTAAATGAATGTCTCAAATAGCCAGAGGAAATCTTTCGCCATGAATGAAGCCTTTTTTCATCTACCTGCACTTCCTGTTGATCCTAAGGCGCCGCCGCCTGCTAGTGACATGGCGCTGAGGTCTGGGAGTGGCAGGTTGAGGTTGGGCAAGTTGGGAAGCGGAGGCAAGCCACCTGGGAGGGGCAGCAGACCTACACAAGGAGACACGGTGTCATCATTAATTCATCCTTAGGAGGCGGCAGCTACATGGCGCTCCGGCTACTTTACTGCAGTGAAGCCACTTGGAAGTGGAGCTCGTTTGAAAAGGGAAACACACACTAGACGTGGATGGACTTTTATGCCACAAGCTACAGCGTAGTTAGCAACTCAGAAAGCTGTCATGAATAAAAAGGTTAATAGCCACAATTTCATAGGATCTCAGACACCGGATATGTTTAGAGAATTAAAGCCGCTCACATTGTTTGAAATGTACACAAACAGTCACAGCTTGTCCTCCTGCGTGTGTGTGTGTGTGTGGTTTAGCAAGAGTACCGTGTGCAGTTCAGGTGTTTACACACTCAGGTACACCTGTTGTACCACTCGTTACACAATACCATCTCTGAACGCACAACTCATGGAACCTTGAGGAGGACGGGCTGCAGCAGTAGAAGACCGGGAGGCCTCTCCTGTCGCCTGAGAACAGCAAACTGACTACATATCGCACAGGCGCAGCTAAACTGGGCCAGAGAAGAGAAAAGCGCTGCCTGGTCTGACATCAGATGGTCGGGTCAAAACTACATGAAAACATGGATCCATTCTGGCTCGTATCAACGGTTCAGAGTGGTGGTGACGTAATGGCGTGGGAGGGGTTCTCTCGGCACACTTTGGGCCCCTCGGTAGGTCTGAGCGGTTTACCGGTTCAACTGGTATGACGGTTTCAAATTCCCTTACCTTAAAAAAAAAAGGTTTCCACACAGTGTCATACCGGTGTAACGACTGTTGCCGCTCTTCGGCAGGCAGCAAATCTTTTGTTTAACCCTCTTCATCGAGGTTGCAGCGGTCTGAGCTATTTGCCTTACGTGTATATCGAGTCTTGGTTAGAACGTTATACAAGCTAACTCGATGGGCAGTTGCGCGCGAGTTGGCCGGCGAGCGCTGAAGGCTGTTCAGGTGCCGGCGGTCCGTTTCAGTGTTCAACGTGTTTACTTGAGAGAAAGAAAAAAACCTTGATTTAGCAGAATACAAAGCAGCGTGATGCCTTTTTGTCCATAACGCGCAGGCCTACCCGTAGGACCAGCTGAGCATGGTTTAAATGGCGCAGTCTACCCGAGTGTTGCTGCGGACCACGTCCATCCCTTTAGGACCACAGTGAACCATCTTCTGATGGCTACTTCCAGCAGGACAATGCACCACGTCACAAAGCTCACATGGTCTCAAGCTGGTTTCTAGAACAACACAATGAGTTCACTGCCCTCCAACAGCCCCCAGTCCCCACGTCTCAATCCAACAGAGCTCCTTTGGGACGTTGTGGAACGGGAGATTCGCATCATAGACGTGCAGCTTACAAATCTGCAGCAACTGCGTGACGCTATCGCGTCAATATGGACCAAAATCCCTGAGGAGCGAGGAATGAAGGCAGTTCTGAAGGCAAAGGAGGTCCAACCTTTTACCAGCAGAGTGTACCTAATAAAGTGGCCGGTGAGGCAGGGCTGTGTTGTGTTTAAGGCTCACCGACTCAGCAGACAGGTGCTCTGAATGGGAACGTTGGGGAATCTCTCACCTGGTAGCGTGGACCCGGGGTGGAAGCCGGTGGGGGCAGGATTCTGTGGAGTGAGTGGGCTGAGGGCGTGGCTGGTGGACGGGAGCAGAGGGACAGTGGGCAAACCTGGAGGGGAGGGGGACACAAAAACCGCCCACAGATATCACGTTACAGGCCGAATGTGATGGAGGAATTGGAACCGGTGAACAAGTAAAACATAAATACCTGTCTGCAGCTCCCTGGGCATGATGGGCGGGGCCGAGCTGATTGACAGGCTAGACAATGAATCTTCAAGGCCAGCAGGGACGGCAGGTCCGGTAGCGGAAGGACTCACTGCAGAGAGTTGGACCTGGAGGAATTTAGGAGTAAAGGTGGAGGTGGTCAAGCAAAGAATGCTGCGGTCAAACAGACGAGGTCACGTTCATTAAAACGGACAAAGAACTGTCACCGACTACGTTGCTCTCTGAACATCGGCCTGCTTTGCTGCTCACATCAATCAGGCAAGTTGCATTTCTAAACTGTGGAAATAGGTTTGTATGAAGTGTGCCGACCTCAGTGAATCCATCCTTCAGCGGACTGACGGGCTCACTGGGAGAGTTTCCAGGGAAGCTGATCTTCTTCCCCTCCTCAAAGGGCCTGGTGGGAATCCTGTGCAGGTATCCGTAGCCAATCCCACATCCGAGGCTGGTAGAAGCAGAGAGGTAGTTAAGCATCCAAACGGACTAAGTCAACTATTTCACACGTGCCTGGTTTCATCCCACTAAATAAATGCCTGTATTTTTGCTTTCCAACAAAAGCGCCAGATTAGGGGTGAGTTTGAGAAGATGGGCCGAGGCTAGCTTAGCCTAGCGGGCTAAATGTCCTCTCAGGAGCTACAGCCAGTGAGGGCACAATACATGTGTTTAGGGAAAACGTGAGTAGGGTTGGCCTGCTTTTCATGAGCAAATGAGGAAATTCACAACAACAGCTTACTTTATCTTAGAAATGGATTGTCATATAATTGTAATATAAATTGTATTGACTACCTTTCTACAATAGAAACAGATGCAGGAAAATAACTATATCAATGGGGAATAGTGAAATAAAAATGGTCACAAACATGGTAACAACCAGAGACTGAAGGGCTCTGACTGCAAAGGCAGAAACGCGGTTAATTCTCGACCTGCAATGAACCTTGTGAACAGTTGGAGGCAGCGGAAACCAGTTCTGAACCCAATAGAGACACATGAATACATGATACGCAATTTATCTAGTACTTTGAATCCATCATTGTTTGCATCTACGTTTACTTCCGGATGGAGCAACATTAGCATTTGTGGTCTAAGTCACATATTCACTCTCCAGATGGTAGAGACTAAAGAAACAAGACTAACAGCAGAAATGTAATTTGACCATAACTCAACATATTCAGACCACCATCATGAAAAAACATAAGGTAACTCCTCTCATCTGCAGCTTGGTAGAAGTTACCTCCCCTCTCCTCCCCAGGCACTGTTAGGTGTGATGATCACTTCTCTGCAGTTGTCTGTGTCAGTGTTGTACACGTAGAGCTTCAGTCCTTTCCCCTCATGGCTTTCTATTAACGAGAACAGGTCCTCAGACTGCAGATAAAGTCACAGAGATGTAGATGAAAATTAGGAGACGCACAATCTCAATGATTATCAGGTGGTGATGTTCAGGGGTGACGGCTGCAGGGACCTTAAGTGACAATAAACTACCTCATTCATAACGGTGTCGGCTCCAATGATGTAGTCTGTGTGCGGCCGTAAGCCAGCGAGGGTCGCTGGGGAATTAGGCTCTACTTCCTGGTCAAGAGAAAAGGGGCAGAACATGTTTACAAACGGCACCACATGAAACAAGTAATCGAATTGTAATCTGTATCGTATTACCAGCACGTGCCAAACATTCTCATTGGCTCCTTCGAAGCTACAGAAACGAATAGAGACGCCCAGCAAGCCCTGCCCCCCCCACAGGTTGCTGGGGGTGACTGTAGACTCCCGCAGCTCCAGGGTCTTGGAGGAGTAAACCAGCATCTTGAGTGGTTTCTCAACACTGGCTTTCAGCAAGTCTTTTAAGGTGTCATTGTCCTTGTTCTGTGGAAAAGCGGAGGGCGATCGTAAATCAGTGTCTTACGACTCGTATTTGGTTCTGCTAGAGACGGTTGCCGGCCTTCCTCACCAGTCTGGTGTTGTTGATGGAGACAATAAAATCAAAGAAAGGCTCCAGTCCTGCGCGGTGTCCTGGCGAGTTCTCCTGAACCTGCACAAAGACCAGAGAAAACCTGAGCTGCTGCCGGACTGCGACCATCATGCATTAACTGGTCCTTGGTATTCTGCACATGGAGCAACAGGCTGGACCGGATGTGAGCAGGTAGTGACTCCCCACTCTCGCTTACTTTAACAGAAAAACAAACAGAGGTCACACAGGTATCATTTAACCTCAGTGCCGCTTGTGATACACAGCTGGACGGGACCCCCACTATGTGTGGATGGGACCCGGGCCTCTGTGCTCCACCACTGCATTAACGACGGTGTTTCCTAGTTGAGTATCGGGCTCCTTATGCTGTCGCCTGGCGGCTCTGATAGTTAAGCCTCGTTAGTGGTAGTTAGCTCCAAGCTAGACCCGTGTACGCAGATGTTTGGAGAATAAACCCGGTGCTCGGGACCACTAGCAGAACCAGCTTTGCAGCTGTCATTCGGTGTGGCTGCGTAGCTAGCTCCGGCTAGCTAGCACACCGGTGGTTAGCCTCTGCTAAGCACGGCGCGGACACACACACACACACACAACATTTAAACGGGACGCCGTGTGCGACGGTGGCGACACTCAACGCACGGACCCTGTTTTCCTTTTCCCACACGGAGGCCCGAGCGGTCATCCCCGGCCTCTGGTCAACACACAGCAGGCACTCATCCGCCTCTGGCCGGACGCTAAGCTAGCGGCTAGCGGCAGGCTGCGGATGCTACGAACTCACCCGGAGGACGTGGTAGCCCTCGGAGCCTCCGCCGGGTATCTCCACACTCTGCGCACCTCCCATGGTTTTGCACTTCTAAGGCTTTTTCGGTCTTAACGGCGGCTTGTTACCCAGCCGAGGAGAGAAGCCTTCACGCCTCCACGCACCGGGTACACGTCGCCAAACGCCGAGCGGGGTGCTGCGCATGCGCGGTGACGTGGCAGGAAGTAAGACTCAATTTACAAATTGCAATTTCCCAAAAGGTTTCTTCTTGTTTTCAGGTCATCAACATCCAATTGTAGAGTCGCCTTGAAACAACCAGCATATTTCAAAAGCACTACTGTAATTTCAATATGTACACATATATACTTTCTATAGGCCTTTGTGTCCCGTCTATATGGGGCAGAGGGCAAGCTATTAAAACGTGAATCTGATCTTTGGCAGGAGCCTTTGCCTTAATACAATAGTGCCTAGAGTCCCATCTGAGCTTTTTATATATATTTTGTCATTAAGACCATCGTCAGCTCATGGACGATCATTACATTATTTTTGTAGACATTGCTTGTATGTCTAATGATCATAGTTTTAGGCGTCACACACAGCGCTTAGGCCTTTAGATTTTAGATTAGACTTTAATGTAACACTGTCACCAAATTTGAACATGTTGGTATATTAAACTAATAAGAATCCATTGTATTATTATCACAAATTGTTTCTAAAAAGGACAAACATGCAAATCTCTTTCATTCATTGTCCAGATCATGTGTGTTTTTATTTCATGCAGAATAAGCATGTTGGAGGTTTAATGAACTTTTAACTTACGTTACGTTGTAAGTAACGTTTATTTTTCCTCCTATTAAAATAGGCCTGGTTGGCTTCATGCTACTTGAGCCAGTGGCTCTCATATGCTGTACATGCATGTTAAAGTGGCATGTTTGGAGGCACGTTGTGCAGACACAGACTCTCCACCAGAGAGCGCTGCAGCACATGACCTCCCCATAGTCCATCCAACTATTGATCTCGCTGTAATCTGTCACATCTTTGTTTCTCTGGGACATTTGGGTTTATTGGGGCTGAATCACTCAGAGAGGAATAAAGGCAAGAAGAGGGGGCAGATCAGGGGCAAATTTAGGGGAAAAGTACACAAGGAGCAAATGTGAAGAACGAAAGAGTGGGGGAGAGGAGAGGAAAGGGGAGAATAAGGGAGAGAGGGAGCTGATGAGAGGACGCTTCCACATTGGAGAACAGCCAATCCCACAATCAGCTGGGGGCCAAACAAAGTCTCCTCAAAGATGATTAGGCAGAGAGCATTAGTGTGTGTGTGTGTGTGTGTGTGTGTGTGTGTGTGTGTGTGTGCGTGTTAGGCACACACACACTAATACACAGGCTGAGAATACTACACAAATGTGTGATTTACGGAGACAGGGCTTTGTGTTTGTGTTTTATACATGAACTCAGACTCACGTTTCCCGTCAATATACTTTATTAAAGATCTTTTTGAAGATGATTCTGTTAAAGTGCCTCAAACGTTCCCTTACAGCTGGCTGAATCAAACAAGCAGGAGTCATTGGCCACATACAGCACACAGATTACCGTAAGTATGTTTTTTGGGTCATTCACATATGGTCCCTAGTTATCGTTAATACTTCAACATAAGTCTTATATAATACTGCCATAGTACACGTCCATTTACAATGGAAGAAAGAAAGGTGAACATTGTGCAAAGACACAAACAGGAACGCTTCATACAAGATATTCCATTCCGTTCCCATGACACTGAGAATACAGGTAATATGTATTACAATTAATATATACTATATTACAGTAGATGCATTAGGATTCAGACAGATACAACAATACTTTCTTGCCAGTCTCAAGAGGAGAGTACATTCTCACATCCTTGTGCTATTCTCTAAAATAAAAGACTGGCACAACTGCCAGATTATTATATAGACTTAATCTCATCAGAAGGCCTGTCAGTCATCTCAAAACATTCGGTCAAAAAGAGTCACAATCACAGAAAGAAACACACTATAGAAATTGCATCGCAGTCGAGGTTCAATAATACAGTAGGTCACCTTTTACAAACACCAATAATATATATGAAGGACAATGGATTGCTCTGTTCCCGATTGGCTTTCTTTGGCTCACAAAATGACTATAAATAAACTTTACTCTTGTTCCCGTGATTACATTTACAAGTGCATTACCATGTAATACACATGAGGACACATTTACGATAAAATACCTGAATCTGCAAACAGCGGAAATGCAATAAATATGAGTTCTTATAATCAAATATTAATATTTCAACACTGCTATAAACACACATGGGTATCACACGATTGCATGAAACAGACAACGAGCCAGCGTTTTACAAGTTAAAGGTTGTCACAGACATTTTAAATCTTAATCTTAAACCTTTACGAGGGAAAACATAGCAGATGTGTGCACATTAATTCATAAGCTTATTTTTAACACAATGCTCGCTTAAATTACATGACAAGGTCTGCATCTGCACACCACACTCACGCACACTGTTTTTGGGACCTGGACACTGGTTCAGGTTGGTGCGCTGAGATTAAATGTTATGCACAGCTGAAAGCACCAACGATTCAATTTTGTGTAGCGAATGTATGATAATGCAGAATACTTTTATAGTAGTTTGTTGTATTTTCATCTGTGCTCTTCTGCCTTCCAGTGTTTGATCACACACACATACAGACGTTAAAAGACAAACTACATTGGACAACAAACCTGATTAAACCCACGCACACACAAATTACTATAATCCACAGCACACACACACACACATTAGAGCATGTTTGTTGTGACGTGAGCCTTCTTAGTACTTACATATTTTGTCTAGAGGAGGAACTATGTGGGACGAGCGAGCTAGCTGCTCGTCGCTTGTTGAAACAGTCAAAACGCTGCAGAGAAGGAGAGACTGGATAGAAAGAACCTAAAACATGTCTTATCATTGTTCTGTCTGCAGCGCTAGGAAGGTTTCACCTCGGTGGCCTCGGCCCCCTGTTACAACGCGTAGAGGCCACCGAAGCAGCGATGGCTGACAGGCCTACAGGTCTCGACCCAGACGCTCGATCTCGTCGATGAGGAAGTCGATGTCAGACTGAGTGGCGGCGAGGTTGGAGACGACCATACGGAAGAAGTTGACATTTTTGCCCTGGGGCTGGTAGCCGACCATGGTGGTACCCGACTCCATCATCATGGCCTTGATCTTCGGGGCCACCTGGTGGAGCGAAGAGGTTAATTGCGTTCCTCGTGGCAGTCTGCTCTAAATAGTGCTGATGAAAACATTAGTCAGCATTAGTTTTTTTTATGTCCGTGGAAAATGTTTACTTATTTTATTTATGGTGTAGCTAGCTTTGTTATTTTAGATGTCCGCTGTCTTTGTTCAAAGTTGCCATGTTTTTATTAAGTTAGTGACATGTTTATTGTCTGTAACAATGGCCGTTTTTTAGCTAACTAACATCGGTTTCATGTCGTCCTTCTAGGTCCACAATTTCCTTTGTGTCCGTTGTATTTTAAAGGTTAACAGCTCCAGCACAACAAATACAGGGAGAGCAGAAGACATCTTGCATCTTACCTACAGGGGTCACATATGGATAAAAAAAAGGAGAAACACGAAAGGTGATAAAATAAGTAAATGTATACTTTCACTTAATTAAAAAAAAATATATATATATTTCATTCAACCCAGATGATGCACAGAAGACTTGTTCCAGCGGTGGTGAAGTAAAAGCTGTCTCACCCTGTGCAGCTTCTCCCGCCGCTCCTCGCCGTCAGGCATGTCTCTCAGGCTGGGTGGGATGTACCAGAAGCAGACATTGGTGTGCTGGGGCTGCAGACAGCAACAAAAGACACCGTTCAAAGATTAGTACGCTTTTAAAGTACACCTCGCAAAAGGAAAATGAAGGAGATTTAGTTGGAGGAAAGACAGCAAGAGAAATACTGTGACAGAGAAGAGTAACATTTTAGAGGCATAAACTAATTGTTAATTGAAGCTTGTATATGAGATTGATATTAGTTAAACCCCTAAATTGTTTATTCTATTGTAAAAGTGTAGCGTATGAACTTAAAAAGATGGGTTTGAATGAAAATAACGCAGGTAAAAAAGAGGAAGAAGAAGCTCACCACTCCATCAAACACCATCTGATATCCCTCCCTGTTCTTGATCTTGTTGTACAGGTACTGAGACAGGTCCAAACACCTGTCAATGTGCTGCTCAAACCCAATGGTGCCCTGCAGGGAAAATGGTCTGTGAGGCCCTAATCACAACAATGAAAAACTACAACATCTGTATAAATATATAGATGATAATAACACCAGGCCCGTTGCCACTGGCTTTGCTCACCTTGGCCTTCCACATGAGCCAGAACTTGAAGATGTCCACGTGACGGCCACACTGGATCGCCTTGTCCCCCGTGTCGTAGTTGACGTCGTACTGCTTGTCCGGTTGGAACAGGTACCCGGCACACATGGAGTTACAGCCCGCCAGGATGCCCTGCACACGCACACGCACACGCACACGCACACACACACACACACACGCACACGCACGCACACACACACACACACACACGCACACGCACACGCACACGCACACGCACACGCACACACACGCACACGCGCACACGCACACGCACGCGCACACGCACGCGCACGCATGCACACACACACACACGCACACACGCACACACGCCGTTATCCTTTTATTTTATGGCCTCGGCACTTTACAGCCGTGTGGAACTTTCACAGGTATTACAAAAGGTTAGTGCGACAATAATCCAAGAACGACACACAGCGCACAAATAAATCCTTCGTTTAAAGCTTCAGAAACATGTGGAAATGTTTTTGACGTGTGTTTACTGCACCTTCTCCCTGACCAGGATTGCAGAGCACTGCAGAGGCACACCCATCATCTTGTGTGGGTTCCATGTGACAGAGTTGGCCCTACAAATGATATATATATATATATATATATTTAATATATGTCTTGATAGCAGTTCCAAAGAAAATGTACTTCAAATAACAATGCAGAGGGACCCATCGGTCCCCATGTAATTACCTCTCAACTCCATTAAGCTTGTGGCGATGCTTCCTGGACATCAGTAGTCCACCGCCCCACGCCCCCTGAGGACAGACAGCACTTTAAGAGACGCGCAGGCAAGGACATGCAGTACATTACTGACACGACAACCAATGCACTGCAAAAACCGCTCCAACGTCCACTACTCACGTCAACGTGGAGCCACAGGTTGTACTTCTCACAGATGTCAGCGATCTCATTGATGGGGTCGAATGCGCCGTACACGGTGGAACCAGCAGTGGCGTTCACAAACAACGGCACATAGCCCTGCAGCAGCAACACACACAACCATTGCAGGATTGGAGGGCGGGAGGAGACAAAGGAACCAGGAGTGAGAAAAAGGGAACCGTAACCCTGACCTTCTGTTTTGCGTCGATGATCTTGGCCTCCAGATCTGCAGGAATGACTCTCCCCCTGTAAGAGATTCAAGCACCAGGCTATCAGCAACACCACAAACAGGCCACAATAATCCTCGAGTAGTGTCTTCATTTGGTCCTGACATGTTTCACATGTAGTATTCTACACGTATTGTATTAATGGTGGCTTTGGGGGGAAATATATTCCTGACCTCTCATCCGTGCTCAGCAGGATCACGTTCTCACTGCCAAAACCCAGAGCGGCGCCTGCCTTCTTTATGGAGTAGTGACTCTGTAGGGACACATTCATTTTCATTGAAATAATTGCGTAAAATAATACAGTGACACTTTTGTGAGGTAATCGCCACTTGAGCTTCGGCTCGCGTTCCGTCACGTTGTCACCGGTGCGATGCTTTGCAGAGAAAAGCCGACGTGAGAAAAGCAAACGGAATCCATAAAACTTCATTGCCTGGATTCAAATAGACCTACTGATATTACTGCTGGACTTCTTCAATGGCCCCAATCTACAGCCAATGAAGCACAGCATCTGCTTTATTACAAAACCTGAAAATAGAGAGAGTGTGCGTGTGTGTGTGTGTGTGTGTGTGTGTGTGTGTGTGTGTGTGCGTCACGTACGTGTTCAGATGTGAAGAGGACCAGGCGGGGAGCAGCAGACATGCCCTTGGTTTTGACCTCGGGGTAATACTTGTAGCGTGCGATCATCACACTGTACATGTTGGAAATAGCGCCCCCTTCAGAGAGGAGACAGACACATCAGCACCATGGACAGCAGCGTGGTGCCTAATTCAGCCCACAATCAACCCACTCAACCTGTTAATACGTGGACCAACCTGGTGAAAAGATGCCATCTCCCTCTCCGTTGGGCCAACCAATCATCTCTCTCATTTTCTTCAGCGTCAGCTGCTCCATCAACACAAACACTGGAGCGATCTCATAGGTGAACCTGTCAATCACATCGCGAAATGTGTAAATCAAGCGCGACCTTGAACAGTTCTGTAACGGCGGGGGAATAAACATCTGGCATGAAGGATGAGAGACGAGTCTTATGCAAACACAGATGACAAAGCCCAAATACGGACTCGCCAAAACACACGCACACACATTTATCTTTTTTCATTAGCCAAGCTATAATTCCGCACTGGAGGTTGTGCTGACTGGGCTAATTAAAAAGTGCCTGATAGCAGTCGGGTAGCAAACATTCATATTCAAAAGCTTTCTAAAATCACTCAGTGGTTTAATTAAAGCACACAAAGCTCTGATGGCTATCTGTCAATCCTGCCAATCTCAGCGGGGAGTCTGAATGGAGCTGATTTGATGGCTGAGAGGACGTGAGTGTGTGTGTGTGTGTGTGTGTGTGTGTGTGTGTGTGTGTGTGTGTGAGAGTGTTTCAAAGAGATAACACCCTGCGTTGACCCCAAAATTTAGAAATTTGGAAAAAGGCCATAATATATATGTTTTTCTTTCATTAAAAGAAGGAAAAATATTGAATGTGCAAAAGTAATATTCACAATACTGGAGGAAAAGTGACGAATGGACCACAGGTCTAAAAAAAATGCCAGACGTGATTCTGATTCCTCTCCAGTGAGCAAAAGACAAAATGGCTCATAGCTCCGTGGCCGACTCCCGGAGAAGCTCGAGGAGACTCAAAGTGTTGCAGAAAGCCAACTTGGTGAGACCTAAGCTTTCTCCTCACCTCCCACACACACACACACACACACACACACACACACACACACACACACACACACACACACACACACACACACACACTATCCCTATTTACCCGGCCTTTAATGAGGCCAGTTACACAACACTCCTCCACCCTTATCGGTCGCCACTATTGCCATCAAGAGCGCCACTAACATCTCCTCCCGATTTCGATTCCGCTCTGTTTCCTTCACAAGTATCTAAACGAGGGCTGAAGGGATTTCATAGCTTGGTTTAGAGAGCAAGAGGGATGAAGGCTGTGAGCCGAGCGCGCTGCATGGAAACAAAGCACCGAGGGGAAATGTGACAACAAAGGAGGAGGAGGGATGATGAGGGAAGGCAAGGAAAAGCACGTCGAACACAACAAGAAACAGAGATGGCGGAGGATTCGAGGGCAAAGGAAATCCAGTGAGAGCTACGGCCGGGGAAAGATGCAACTTGAAATAGAAACAGATAAATGGAGGAATAGAGTAATTGTTCCGTGTGAGGGCTCACCCGTGGTTTATTGGAAAATAAGCTCCTGGTCAATACCTCAGATAAGATTGAGAGCACATGGGCTTTGAATATGAACAGCCACAGCAATTCATCAAATTACAGAGGAGTCAGATTTTGAAGCCTCTCACTCGCCTAATTTCTAGAGGAGGCTGTTCTCTGATGTATTGGGTCCATAGAAGGAACACAAAATGTTTAATATCCTGCATGGAACACTTTTATTTCTTCTTCAAATATATCCACAGCCGAAAAGGGACAAAAGCAGCCCACCTTTTTAAAATCCCCCTTCTCTCCGTGAGTCATTTCACGCTGTAATGACAATAATGGTGATCATTATCCCAATCAGAGCCAATCATTGGTCTTTTCAGGATGAAAATTACCCCTCAGTCACCTGCCCGTCTCCAGGGACGGCCCCTAAATGCCCTTATTATCGTCATCAAGGGCACTCGATGTGTATGAACCCGTGTTTGAATGTGTGTGTGTGTGTGTGTGTGTGTGTGTGACTAACCCTCTGACCCCCCCCCCCCTCTCCGCACAGCCCCTGAAAGGAGCACTGAGTCGGTCTGTAACCGCGGGACAATGAAGCACTCCGCAGGGAGCTGCAGCAGTCACTTTCCTCCGTGCGACGCGGTTTCTCTGTGCAGGCGCAGAACATTGTGTGTCAGTGTGGGGCCCAGCTGGCCTATCTGCTAAGACCAGCTCACAATGAGCCCGCAGCAAATGGACTGGAAACCCTGGCTGCCGTATCTGGGACAGCCAGAGCTGGTGTGTGTGTGTGCGCGCGTGTGTGTTTGTGTGTCTGTATGTCATTATGAAAGAGTGCGCCAGTGTGTGAATTCAAGGGCCCCGTCTTCTTCCAACCAGGAGATGAGATGTTGTAGTGGGGGACGTTTCCTAAGCTAATGTTTTGAGAAATGGGATAAATTAAGTGACTCCTCTTCCTTCAGCGTTTGGTTTATCGTCCTTACGTTGATCGTTTCTTCAGCACGCCGTCTAGGAGGAAACCTTTTCAACATCACTGTTGCATATTGTCCCCTTGAGAAAAACAGAAATAATAAATCCATAGTTGCAGCCTTAAATACCTGCTGTCCTTCTCTGGTTAGTCCATCTTATTACTTAATACTCTGTGATTCCTTATTTTTTCTTATCTCCAATGACAATATAAACTTAAAAGAACTTGATTTCTCCACTCAGAATACATTTTCAGAGCTGTAAATATTAGGCTCTGCATGGACGTGTACTCTGTGTACATGCATCTGTATTCAATATTCCGATGGTGTGATGTTCTTCATACAGTGGTCATAACACAGAGTCATAGCTCCTTTACAGCACGCGTGTGTGTGTCGACAGTGCGTGGTGTTGATGTGGTTCAGGCCCTCTATTAGACCGGGCCTCCATGTAACTGTGACCTGAGATCAATATGCAATCTAACCGCCCCTGCGGCTATAGGCTGCCTCCGATATACAGTACAGCACAGTGGCAGCCTGCCGCCTGTCAATACACAGGCTCGACAGGACAAACCAAACACTTTATGTAACCGCCCTCAGAGGCTCGATGGTAGCAGGGAGGGAACAACACAAGCACTTCCACCGCGACTATATAATCATCACTAGGGGCTGTTTCCGACGGCCCGGATATTGGAAACCATGGTTGCCCTTTCATGGCGCGATGAGGTGTTCCCCCGAAACAGACCGCTGTGTCATGCAAAAGCAAGGAGAGCACATGACTCACATGTTGGTGTTAGCAGTGGAGGTGAGCCACTCCCCGGCCAGACCGATGATATCCAGGCCAGAAGACAACTGGTTGAAGAATCGCGGGTGACCTTAAGCATAAAAAATAAACGTTCTCCATTTATTTCCACTGAACAGGGCCCCAGTGCTCACATGAGGGAATCATGCTATATATAAAAAGAAAGTAGAAGTAGCACCGCCTAAATGTGATGGTACAAATAAATAAAAGTCTAAAAAAAACACACATAAAGAAACGGTTCTTCATTTCAATATTCACCGCTGTTGGACCATGAAACCTCAGGGATCTGCATAGCACCTCTCAGTGTACATAATTGCATTGGTAACAAGGCTATGTGACAACCATTTAGTCTCTAAGGTGCTTGCACACATCCACCGTCAATGGGCCTGGAGCCTAAAGGCAGTCATGGATATAAGCGCCTTGTGGAGGTGACGGTGTGTTTCTCACACTAAAAATATGTGATTCATTGTGAGTTACGCCTGAAATAATATCACATTATATATATAGAGGGACGACTGCTTCATAATTCAGCACCGCGGACAGCTCCTACGGTGGAACCTCACAAGACTGAGCGCAAATTATAAAACCTACATCAAGTCTCCGAATGAAAAGTGGGGTTGAGTTGTCGGCGCCGTGGACCCAGCGTGATATATAAAACCCAAGGGACAGTTTGAGCGCTGTCGTTTTTAACAGCTTGAAACAGCCCGTGTTAAGATCCCCTCAGGCAACACACGCTTTAATAAGTCGAGGAGAAAGAAAAGGAGGATGTCAAGTGAATTACCAGGGGGGCAATAAATAAGGCAGCCGTCGTAATGGGCTGCACACTATCTGGCAAACAGCTAATGGATCGTGTTGAATTTGCTAATTTACATGAAAGGGATAAGATGGACATTTAAACATATTGTTGGAGATGCCATCCAGGAGGTCATATCTCACAATTAATGTAAAATTGTGATATTAGGTCAACCTGTGTGACATCTATGAATATTTCCTGGTCTGCTGGTAAAAATACTATTTCTGAACTGACAGCAGCGGTTGTTTGCTTTTTATCTCCACACATTTTGCGTCATTTTGCTATTTAAGATAATTTTGCCCCCGTATGAATTATTTGGACAAACACACACTTATGGCGCAGCTCTATGCTTAAAACGTCCCACCTGTGCGGACGCCATATTTGAGTGTGTCCCTGCAGTCCACCAGGATCTGCTCCAGCGATTCAGGCTGGTCGGACAGCTCCAGGTTGAAGCCCTCCATGCCTTCCAGGAGCTGGTGAGGGTGGTGGAAGTCCAGCACCTTGGTGGAGCGGTCGAAAGTCTTCTTGACGTAGGTGGTGAGGATATCAACCATCTCCAACAAAAACTGTATGGTGGGCTCCTCTCCATTTTTGGCTGGCAGCAAGTCTAAGAGGTGAGGAGGAAGTATGAAGTGTGCTTTCACTGGAGCCTTTAGGCGCTGAACATGTTAACCATCAGTGTCAAGAGCCTTCAGAACGCCTTGGGCCCATTTATTTTAATTGCAAATTTGATTTTGCATTCCTTCCAATTTTCTGTTGATGCCTTATGTCTAATAATTATTGTCTTTGTTTTATGGGCTAATAGTGAGACACATTTAAATCCTAATTAGGCCTGTAGAGTAAAAACAAATCAGCAGAGAAGTGCATCGCTTTTTACCACGCAAGTGGACTAATACGGAAGATACGTTATAAAAAATATTTCATATGTGCATCATTTTTAATCATGTGACAATATAGCGAAGCCTTCGTCTCGGGTTGTTTTTTCTGGATATTATTACGGTGCCTCTAACTGTGCTCGTCCAAAAGATGTCTTCCTTCTGTGAGAGGCCTTAAACATATTTATCTCATTAAAGTCAGCGACACTCACTGTAATTCGAACTAATGAGCCAACGACTAATGTGGCCACGCAATAAACCGCAACGGTTGGAGAAATGAGGGACTTTCCTTTGCGCTCACCTCTGGCGAACAGGTTGGAGAAGTCGGTCTCCGTGAGGCGGAAGCGCGCGTCCCTGTCGCTGTTGTCGCACGAGAGAAGATTCTTGTGGCCCGCGAGCCTCCCTTTCTCCTCCAGGCTGTTGTTCTTCTGCAGGAACCCTAGGGTGTTACACGACGGGGGGCAGGAGTTATCACCAAACACCTCCATTCCGAACACGAGGACAAAGACGAAGAATGGAGAACAAAACTGAGAAAAATTAAAGAGAAAAAAAAAGAATAATAAATGTCCAAATATTCAGCGTTTTTCAGTCTCTAAATATCTCAATGTTAAGGCGGCTTTCGGAAAATATATATTTTTATTAATCAGCTCCTAATGCCTTGACTGTGTTTTTCTGGTTGAGGCCAAACCAGTCATGCACCGGTCATATATACACACACAGGGACCACCAGTGTCCATGTGTGTGTGGGTACCACCCTCACCCTATGACATCACAACCGCCCCCCGGTCCTCCGGAGACTCATCGGTTCAGTGGACATGCCCACGGCGATGACCCGTAACCAATAAATGCGCACCCGCACGGGGTTGTAATGCAGCACGGCAAGGACTATATTTCAACCCTCACATTGATCATTATATAGACTCCTTATACATGCAGGATAATGTGGTCACGGTCAGTTGTGCGCAAAATCCGTAGTCACATATACCCTTTAAGGGTAAAAGGCCTAATATGTTTTAATGGAAACTCATAAAACCTTGCTCGTTAACCCGTAAATACCATATTTGAAATCAATATTTGAAACTGCCTCCATATACAATATAGAATATATTGAAACATTCATTCTAATTTCATGACCATTAAAAATCTATTAGTTCTATTAGTGATTTTCTCACTCTCAGAAATGGCGATATCAAACGTATTTGATGCTTTAGTCAAAATTCATTTAAACTGCAAACGAGGCCCATATCGCGTGTTTGAATGGATCATATGTCCATTTCCGGTTGGCACAGAATCAAGTATAACATATAGAACCATTTGGTATTTCTTGAGTCACCAAAAGAAACAAATTATTTAATAGGATGTCTGTAAAATCCCATCCACTAAAACAGGTCATCATTGAGAGAAGCTGGAAAAGGAAAAATAGAATTAGAATAGAATTCTGAAAAGCAGATGAAAAACCATTTTATATCAGGTTATTGTTGGCTTCATAACATATTCTCCGGGCCTGTCTCAGTGATGTTTCGCGTGGCGGGGAAGTGGAAAGGACATGGGGGGTTCAGGGGGGGTGTGATCCGGGATCTCATCATCGAACCTACAGGCTAATGTCCACTGACCTTTGGAAGATGGAAACACACTGTGACAGTCGTGGATGTGCTGCTCTATAACCGCCTTTATAATGGCTCATCTCAGGCCTTCTAACGGGATTATTACCCCCCAATCCAGGCAAAGCGCACATCATATTCCTCATATGAGAATATGGCCCGAATTAAATTGCATGATTCTAAGATGTCCAAATGTGAAGATGAAAAAAGAGTTTTGGGAGCCCACAAAAAAAAAAAAAAAACTTACCACAAATCTTCATCCCCAGTTTCCGCGTGCATCCGTGCATCCACGCGTATTCGTTGGCTAAAACAGAATGAACGTTTGAGTTTGGTGTGCAGGCCGCGGGCGCGTGATGCGTGTGAAGCTGGTGAGCACATGAGCACAGTGGAAGCGTGAGGCGGGGATGTGTGACGTGATACGACGAGCAGGTTGTTCTAGTACTTTTATTTAACCATTCCGCCACTTTGGGCTCAACGTTGTCTTTGTGGTTTGTTTTTCTCTTTCCTTTAATTTACCTCAACAGCCGGTGACCACAAAGGGATGAGTCTTATAACATTTCCGATCTGAGTTCAATCAATGGACACCGGCAGTGGGCCGAGGGGCGGACTGGAACTAACGCCCGTGAAATGAGCTCGCGGAGGAGGGCAGGAATTAATTGAGTGAAACACAGTATGTGACTGGAGCGAGCTGCAGATGTCTGTGGCCGCGAAGTCTGTTGGCGGCGAAATGCAGAAATGCACAAGCGGGCCGCGGTGCGTCTCATGCATATACACACTCTCAGCTACACGCCAACCCGTGCGTGCACATGCGCGAGCGGAGATGGAGCAGAGGCCGCGAGGAGATCAGATCATGCGCAGAGTTTACACCTGATGGAGAACTTTCAAAACAACAACAAGTATTTCAATTCGCTGAAGCACGTGAGAGAAAAAAAAAAACTGGAGCTCGAGCAGCCGAGGCCAAGGCATCACCGTGTGCGTGTGTGTGTGTGTGTGTGTGTGTGTGTGCGTGTGTGTGTGTGTGTGTGTGTGTGTGCGTGCGCGCACAGACACTAGAAGCCGCCAGGCGTGAGATGAAGCGTGGAATAGAGATAATGGCAACATCCAGCAGCATACGAGCAGAGTCAGACAAAACAAACATCTTCCCATTCAATGGGCCTTTTTCTATATAGGGACAAATTCACATTTCTGTCGGAGGTTTTTGTAGACAAATAAAATATTCATAAAACGACTTGTTCGATTAAGAGATAAAATATGGAATTGAATGAATCACCGGTGGCCGGGAGCTTATTTCCTCCTGCATTTGGCAAAGACAAAACCAGGAAAGGACTTTGCGCGTTGCCCTGCTGCTCATGTGCACGTTATGCAGACAATTCTGTGCGTGCGACAACGGCTTTAAAATGAGCAATTAGCCCACAGGTTAACGCATCAATATGTAAAGGTACTTTGTAAAAATCAACGGCAAAATATGTCTCCAAGAGCAACGAATATGTACAGACTAAAGCCTTAAGGGCATAAAAAAATCCGGCTGGAAAACGAGATAAGATGAATCGTGACAGAAATAAATTAGCATTAACATAAATATTTGCTTCTTTATCAAATGCTTCAAAAATATTTTTTAAAAGCACAAATAAAACCCAGACGACTATCGGGCCTGACCGCAACAACCAACGGGGGAAATGTTGTAAACGGGAAAATATTGGATCGAAAAATGCATTTTCATCCCGAAATGCGGTCATTAAAATGCTCCTGGATATTTCTAAATACCAACGGGGTGTTTTTTCTGCGCGGTGCGCACCGCTGATCCGCCAGACAGCGACAGGCAGCTGTGACGGCTCTGTTTTTAACCGGAATGATTAACGACGAAGCTCACACAGCAAATGGACCGGGCGAGACTCGCTTCCATCAAACAGAGGAGGGAGGGGGGGGGGGGGGGCAGACGGAGAGGGGCTGTGTCTGTCCGTGTGCAGGAGAGAGAGGGGGGGGGGGGCTATATATCGCCTTGCAAGGATCTTTGAGCAAGGCACCAAATCTCTGTCGGTTCCAGTGGGTCGTTTCGAAGACGGACCGCCTCAAGGGATCACAGAGCGTTTTCTCCCGGTCGGAGTGTGTGGGCACGTACTTGCGGATGGAGGTATTAAATTGGCAGAGTTGGGGTCCTGGTCCCCGCCAGAGGCTCTCGGTTCAGACGCAGCCATCAGTCCTCGGTTATCTGATCTCCAGTTGGGAAATATTTCAACTGCGAACAAAACGGTCCAGAGTTAGAAGACAAATCACGCCAACAATATGTTTAATTTCCATCCACTGAAATCCAGTTGATTGATAGAATTTATCCGTCAAGGAACAGGAACGATTTTTCCCCCAAAGGAGAGCTGATTGGGTTACGAACCGAGCTGCGCAATTTGGAGAGAATTGCGTATCGACGCAGAAGAAATACGCGCAAAAAGATAAGCGGGGTGCACCGTAATGCCCATGTACATGCATATTGGAGATACGCCATGATTTCAATTAGTCATTAAATACTCCCAGCTACTAACAACAATATTAAGATGACATAACTTGTCAGGGAGATGTGATAAATGTATATTTAATTTTGGGGTCGTTAGAACAAAATTACATTTTTCCTGTGATTAGAGCCACGGTGTTCAAATCTGACCCGTGAATATCAATCAGGAATAAATATTAAAAAGCGATGCATTCTGCCTGTCAAGCTGAGGATCAACTAAATGAGCAGATTACAGCACCGACTGATTTATGAAGTCATATTGATAACATGCAACGGCATTTACCAATTGACTCCGCCATCGACATATCAATTAAGTTGCGCTTTGGACAAGCGCATCATTCCACCATCACTCACTGTCACCGTGGCGCGGACGGACGGGACCACTAATGAGTCCCCTTTGCCACTCAGCCGGAACGCATTTAAGAATTAAAACACATTTGTAAAGTTCGCTTTCTGTAAATAAATAAATAACCCGCCCGACGTGTCTCTAAAAGCAATGTGAAGCATGGGATGAGGTGAAAGGAGGAGACATCTCACCGGCTCGCGCGCGCACAGGTTGCCGAGTCCAGATAAACTATAAGTCGATGTCCAGGATCGCGCTGTACCGACAGAGCACGCGAATAAAATCCATCCAGCGGCGCGCGCCCCGAAGAAGCTCTTTGATTTGTTATTTATATCTCAGACGTCGGCTGCCCATTGGTCTCTTCACGCAAGCATGAGTCACAGGCTCGCCTCCCTCTGACGACTAATGAAGCTTCCCTGAGTGCCGCTGACAGCCACAACCCGCTTTAAGGAGCCTAAACGGGCCAAGAAGAAGGGGGGAAACGCCGGTGACGTAAGCCGCCCCCCCTCTGTGCGTCTCCAGGTGTGGGTGGGTGTCACAGGATGGATGCTTTTTCCTGAGTGGGTTACTAGCAGTTGACCTTGGGAAGACAAACACTGTTGGCTCCCAGGTTTTAGGAGCAGCGGTTCAGGATTGACGCCTCGGTTCCAACGGACCTGTGGGGGCATCCGACCATAAGCGCTGATGTTCCTCTCATCAGATTACAGCGTTGAATGCATCATCCTTTTTGACCTGCACCCTTTTCAATAACCGTGACATGGACAATAACACAGAGGCATCAAAGCGAATCCAGCTTGGAAGGACATGGACTCATTGTCGTCCTCCTGCCGTCGTCTTGGTCCACCGAAGGGACAGAGACCATGCAGCCGTTATGTTCATTCAGTCATTGCAAATTACACAGCCTTCATCAGATGGAGCTACTTTTCTTCTTTCTGACAGGGGCAATTATGTGCTAATAACTCAGAATATATGACAGCACTCCACACGAATGTATTAGCTCTGTGTGTGTGTGTGTGTGTGTGTGTGTGTGTGTGTGTGTGTGTGAGATGTCGAGCCACAGTGATGATATAAACCTTCAATGGTCTTTAATATCTACATTTAAACATTAAGCATTTAAGCATTTAATTAATACTTTTTGTGTTCATTTAAAAATACAATATCACCTACTTCCTAGATTGAAGCGGTTTTATTAAACTTTGTAACAATGTGAAAAGTTCCTCGACCCACCGAGGTACCAACAGAACCTGTTTGAACCTATTCGGCTGGTTTGGTTGAGATCAGTTCAGCCTCATGTGACCATGTGTCCTCTGACCAATCTGCCACTCCATCACCTTTTCATCCAAATGTGTACATTTATATTCAATTCAATTATTTTACTTACATGTGCTCCATACATCCATAGATAAACAGCTGGTGCTAATTCTCTGGAGCAGAACATTTAAAAAGAAGGAAATGCATCAAGATGGCGGAATATAAAGGGCAACATGACCTTAATGGGTGGAAACTGGAAAATATGATAGGAATTTATCATTTATCTTTATTCATGTGTCAGGTTGGGACATGTCTCCTCATCGCTGTGACAATAAAAGCTCCACATTTTATTGCATCTTTCTATTGATAATCTCACTTTACTTTCCTTTTAAATACCACATTTCTGAATTTGTTGCATTTCCATTTGTTTCATGTAATTATTGTAGGGAGGCACGTGGAACCACATCTATAGACTTCTGGGATCAAACCATGACAGTTACTGAGAACCATGTTTTAATCCAGGAGTCTCCCTCACGTTCTCCCTCACGTTCTGCCTCACGTTCTGCTTCACGTTCTCCATCACGTTCTCCACAACGTTCTGCCTCACGTTCTCCCTCACGTTCTCCCTCACGTTCTCCATCACGTTCTGCCTCACGTTCTGCCTCACGTTCTCCCTCACGTTCTGCCTCACGTTCTGCCTCAGTTCTCCCTCACGTTCTGCCTCACGTTCTGCCTCAGTTCTCCCTCACGTTCTCCCTCACGTTCTGCCTCACGTTCTGCCTCACGTTCTCCCTCACGTTCTGCCTCACGTTCTGCCTCACGTTCTGCTCACGTTCTCCCTCACGTTCTGCCTCACGTTCTGCCTCACGTTCTGCCTCACGTTCTCCCTCACGTTCTGCCTCACGTTCGCCTCACGTTCTCCCTCACGTTCTGCCTCACGTTCTCCCTCACGTTCTGCCTCACGTTCTCCCTCACGTTCTGCCTCACGTTCTGCTGCCTACCGTCTGCTCAGTTCTCCCTCACGTTCTCCCTCACGTTCTCCCTCACGTTCTGCCTCACGTTCTGTCTCACGTTCTGCCTCACGTTCTGCCTCACGTTCTCCCTCACGTTCTGCCTCACGTTCTCCCTCACGTTCTGCTTCACGTTCCCCCTCACGTTCCGTTTCACGTTCTGCCTCACGTTCTGCCTCACGTTCTGCCTCACGTTCTGCCTCACGTTCTCCATCACGTTCTCCACAACGTTCTGCCTCACGTTCTCCCTCACGTTCTGCCTCACGTTCTCCCTCACGTTCTGCCTCACGTTCTCCCTCACGTTCTCCCTCACGTTCTGCTTCACGTTCCCCCTCACGTTCTCCCTCACGTTCTGCAACATCATCCAAACAGTTTCACTCTTTGTTACAATGTCAGCTGTATGTATCCGTATCTGATTGGAGATGTTAAACCAAGTGATGAGTGTAATTCACACTCAGTTTTAGCCACAGATGTGATGGCGGTTGGTCACGTGTTCCACGTTGGTCCAGATTGAAGCAATTTGACCACGATTACATTGAAAATGGGGGGAAACGGCGATCACAGCTCACTTGTTATGTTAACATTTCAGTTTATTTCCACAACTCGTCCAAAGACCTGACACACCAGCGACATTCCCGTCAGCCTCGGCTGTCCTTTGCTCATAGGTGCTAGTTAGCCAATGTTAGCAGGCTAACACAAACACAGCCGCAGTGAGACCACATGGGGACTGTGGACTCACTGTAAGAACTGCTCTTTGTTCAATTTGTGATTAATGGGCACTAATTGTTTTATTTTAAGGCATCGAATGGTCCAAAGCACCGGCAACTACAGCTTTAAGCGATTTCTGATAGCGATGCCAGATTGGAAATAAGGAAAGATGATATTTATTTTATTTTTGTCTGTAGCCCAACTAAGATAATTGATCATTTTGTGAGCTCCTTCCTGCTTAGTAGAACCTTGAAGGCCAGGAAAGGATGCATACAAGGAATGTGCTTGGTTAGTTCACATGAGATATTTCTGTATTTTTTGTAGGCAGCAGAAAATATCAAAGTTAACTGAAATTTTACAATTATGTTTCCATTCAGTTTTGTCAACAATTTGTTATTGTTTTTAATTATTAAAAATAAATTCACAATTTTCGGGATAGGCAAATGTTGTGGATTAAATAAGAGGCTCAGCAGAGATGTCAGGTGCCGTCATGGCCTCCATCGTTTTGCTACGATACCTTTGGGGAGAAATGTGACAAGGAGGCTGTTAACTTGCTTTTCTTCTTCATCATCATCATCATCTGAGCTTGAGCTCTGAGGTGACTCCTCATTGCTCCCAAAGTCTTCATCCTCATCCTCATCTTCTTCGTCAGTGCTCTGGTCTTCCTCTTGTTCTAAAGGAAAAGGAATGACACAAACTCATGACGTGTTTCTGAATATGCAGAGAGTTTGGGTTTGTCTGAAACAGAGGGACTCTCACCCTTTAACAGCTTGCTCTGGATCAGCGGGAGGAACTCAGAGGCCTCAGGATGGTCTGGTTCATAGATGAGAACTTAACGAGGAGAGAAGAGGCAGAATTTGCCGACTTCACCGGTGGCTGATTTATTGACTGACGGACAGACAGTTGATGGATGCAGGACACTTACTCATCCGACACAGTTGGCTGGCCAGCCGGTAGTCTCTGACCATCACGGCTCTGAGGAACTGACACCACACATATTTCCTCCAGTTTTAATTCCTCTCCCCAACAAAGTGTATCAAGGTTAAATACTCAAATTTGGATGAAATGGATTAAACGGCATCTGAAATAAAACGTGACTGCAGTTCAGCCGATACTATAAGTGTGGAGTCTGTCTGTCTCTTTACCTCCATTATCAGCTGCACTGGTGTCTCCATGTCTTCATCCTCCACGTCCTCTTCCTCTCGCTCGTTTTCCTCCACATTGGCATCATGTGTCGGGAGAGACGTATCTGTTGTTCCTCCTGACAACCAGCAGCACCGTCACCAGTTTGCTTGTTTTTACGATTGTTACTTTGCGTTTAGTTCTACCACAACCTACCGATTGGTGTTGAGTCCAGGGACTCAATGTTTGCCATGTCGTTCATTTTCAACTTGACACCGGGGAGAACAGCGACCGGGTGTCTCCTCCTACTTTAAAATAACATAAAGATTTAAACCGTGTGTTAGATTTAGGTGAGATCTCTACAGGGTGACCAGGCACATAAACCACATTTAGTTCAGCCAGGAAACATCCTTGCATACAGCAGCAGAATCATATCCCGTAAACCTTCTCATTGTTTGAGAATTATTTAGCGTGGCTTTTAAAATCCTAACATTTCGATATGAATATCAGATTACAATGTTGCACTTGAGTTTGTACACTTTGTACACTCTCCAAATAAATGACTGACGTAACGTGTTCAACCCTAACGTCTATTTAATGTCACCAGGGTAGTTAGTTAGCTTGGTGCTAACTAGCTGAACGTTAGCTATCTTGACCTACTAATTGGTCAAGATAGCTAACGTTGTAATAAGTTAGCGTGAAGCACTATTCGCTCACCTCCTCCTGGATGAAGATATATGACGTTGCTGCGGTGTCTAATAATAAGGTTTACTCGTGTTATGGTTAACTAGCTGCGCTAACTAGCAAAGTGATCGTCACTGTAGCTGGACGACAGCGGAGTAAACGTTGCTATAGCAACGGAGCGACGCCGACTGGATGTTACCTTCAAGTGTTGGCGGAAATTGTGGGTTTTCAAAAACATCCAGGCCATATATGATATATACCTTTATGCTACCATTCATGATTCATGAATGATTCATGAATGATTCATGATTTATGTCCCTCTCAGATCGCAACAGCAGTGCGATGTTTATTTGCCTTCTTAATAGTAAGAAAAAAAATGCACAAAAAGTGAGAAATTAAGGGATTTTCTTCTCTTTCACATGGCCTGTAGCTGTTTCCGTCCACCCTCCATGTCAGCAATATTTCATCCAATAAGTAGCTGTAACTGCTACATTAGCTGCGCACACATCTAAAGAGCTGCCCTCTGTCTAGAATCTGTGTGTGTGTCTGAAAGAGAGTTGGAGACTTGAGGTATTGAGTATGTTGGTAATGGGTTCAGGTCTCCTCGGAGATCGGCTCTATTGCTTCACGGTTGTCTAATAATCTCTGGAGGATATAAACCAGCAGACTGACAGGCTGAAAACTCTGACTTCCCACGGAGACTAAATTAGCCAATGACTGACAGGCGAGTTCATTTTGGAGTTTGAAGCACAGTTTACAGCAAGTTAGAGTTAGTTTGGACCAGTAAATATGCACGCCTTCCTCTTCCCCTCCTGCACCCTGTCACACACATCAATTAGCCAGTGCAGTCATGTTGCTCGGACTGAGCTCTCCCTCGGGATCCAGTGAACCGTGTGCAAGTGTGTGTTAGTGAGTGTGTATATTTGCTTGCTACTGTGTAGACTGTGTTGTAAAAAGCAGAGAGGAGCCAATCACTTCTATATAGTTTGCCATGTCACTGCATTGCCGGAGGGAACCAGGCAAAGAACTGGCCAAAGTACTTCTACTAGCGGAAGGAATTTGCTACATATTCGTACAATATGAATAAATAATCCCAATCTGTGGGGAAAAACGTCTCATGGGTGCACACAGCGGTGCAGGTTATTAAACCACGTAGGCCGGAAAATTGTTGTGGACCCGTTGGATTCATTAAATGTTGCTCAAGTAAATTCAATTCAATTCAATTCATTTCAATTCAATTTATTTTATTTTGTATAGCCCAAAATCGCAACCCACCATCTACACAGGAAAAACTCCCCAAAAAATGAAAAAACCCTTCCAAAAGGGAAAAAAGGTAAGTAACCTTAGTGAGAACGTCAGAGGAGGATCCCACTCCTGATGGACAGACTACAATGGATGCCATGTGTACAGAATGAACAATGTGTAATACATACATAGAACCACCATCACATAGAACCGCCATCAGATAGAACCACCATCAGATAGAACCACCATCAGATAGAACCACCATCACATAGAACCACCATCCACAGAAGCCTGTGGGGAGGGAGAGCACAGAGACTTTAGGAGAGGGTAATGTTGGTTTATGAGTACAGTAATATGATTAATATCTAAAATAATAATGATAATAATGATGATGATGATGATGATGATGATGATGATGGCAGCAGCAGGAGTCAGGACCAGGGTCCCGAAGGAGCCACGATCTACGGAGACCTGATAGGGGAGAAAGCACAAAAAACTCACGGAAAGAAGCTGAATTAGTCATGTGCATTAATAAAACGTGAATTATGGTAGAACGAGAGCGTGAGAGAGGAGCTCGGTGTGTCCTAAGAATTCCCCCGGCAGTCTAAGCCTATAGCAGCTTAACTAAGGGCTGGTCCGGACTAACCTGAGCCAGCCCTAACTATAGCAAAGAGGAAAGATTTAAGTTTTACTTTAAAAGAGCTGACCGAATCTGCCCCCCGGACTGAAAGTGGAACCTGGTTCCACAAAAGAGGAGCTTGATAACTGAAGGCTCTGGCCCCCAGCCTACTTTTTAAAACCATAGGAACAACAAGTAACCCAGCATCTATGGAGCGCAGCTGCCTTGTAGGACAATAAGGTGTTACAAGCTCTTGAAGATACGACGGTGCCTCACCAGCAAGTGCCTTGTAGGTGAGGAGAAGGACCTTAAAATCTATTCTTGATTTAACAGGGAGCCAGTGCAGAGAAGTTAATACAGGAGTGATATGATCCCTTTTCTTAGTTCTTGTTCATACACGTGCTGCAGCATTCTGAATCCACTGGAGAGGCTTAAGAGATCAGATGTTGCTTTCTCCTTACCAAAACAAAAGCCCATTCATATCTTAGCAATATATTAGGGGCACAATTCAAACCCATCGGACACATATAAAGGACACCTTTCATGCGTGAGAGCAGAAATGAGCACCTGCAGTGTGGGAAGAGAACAGGTCTCTTTTCCATTAAACCTCACTGACCCTAAACCCAGGCAGCGGCGTTTGAATCCATACACCTCCATCTTACACTCTAGTGGAGAAAATCCCTGTTTCTCCAGACACCAATTTCGTCCAGCTGAATTTGCAGGAATTGTTTGAAAGTGTATATTTTTATGAACGCTGCAATGACTAAAATATGGAGTCTTGGATTTGCACAATAAGTGTAAACGTTGTGAAGCTTCAATGAACCAAAAGCAGACTCTTTTTCCAACCTGAAATCAACTGAAGAGGCAATAGAAGGCAAATTGTATTTGTATGTGTTATTAAAGCCCATATTTGTGAATGTTTTGTATGTCTATAACATACAGTAATCTTGAATAACTATTATTTAGCTAGTTTCTCAGGTTGAAAGTTACTGTTATTTATTAAGAATAAAGAAGTCAAAGACTCAATCAGGACTCTTTCGATGTGGTGCCATCAGATTTGATTGAGCAATTAAACCAAATAACACATGTGATCATCTGGTTTCTGTCCCCTTCCAGCGAGAGCACCACAGACAAAACGCACTACATTAAATCATTTGATGGAATCACGCAATGCCATAGAGCCATCGTCCCCCAAAACCCCACCCGACCTCCCACCTCAAGTCCTGCTGCCCAACATCAGACAGACGGAGACACAAAGCGCAAACACGCCCGAGCAGCCCGTCAGGCCCACCTGCCACGGACGCTTGATGGGAAAATATATTCCAGACCGACGACACGATAACAGAATCATTTCACACTTCATTGATCCTCTCCCCATTCTTTGTGCGCTGTTATGGGCTTGGCTGTGTGTGTTTGTGTGTGTGTGTGTGTGTGTGTGAGGGAGTAGGCAACGCGAGCTGGCGTGTTGTATGTACTGTATGTTCCTCAGAGACGCTGCCAATGGGAGCCCTGGGCAGGAAAAGGGACAGCGAGACGCATCGCCGTCCTTCAGGACCATGCGGGATGTCAATGGCGTCTTTCTGTGACGGAGCGCCACTGAACACGCCGTTCCCATCGTTAACGGGGATCAGCGCTAACAAAACCGAGCAACGTCGCGCCGGCCTAAGAACCCCGTGTGCATGAGGGGGTGTGTGTGTGTGTGTGTGTGTTGCCTCGGGCTCCCGTGTTTATGGAGCATCTGTGCAGGTCCATCAGAGTGGTGTGGTGGTGTGTGACGATCCATCCTCACGCCTCGCAGCCTCTGGCAGGCGGAGGCCTAATAATAAATGCAAATTACAATCAGAGGAGCAGATTGGAGCCGGAGAGGATAATTGCTCTATTATGGCTGTATGCGTGTGTGTATCTTGTGTAACAGAAAGAGTTGGGGGGGTCGGGGGGCAAAGCCAGGTGCTGACGTCACAAACAGACTGCATAACGAGACAAGTGAGGTGCTGCAAGTATCGATTTATTTATTGGACAAGATTCAACTTTCCAGTTCGAGGGCCGAGTAGGGCTAATTAGAGTGTGATGTAACGGATCAAAGCAAAGACACACATCAACGTGAAGCATATTTCTGTGTGAATATCCTGTATGTATCGTGGGTTTGACTTTTCCATTTGCTCAGATCCTCACCGGCTACATCTCAACAGAACAACACAGTTGAGAAACTGCAAATCTTTGAGGTCAGGAGCACTTTTACCTGATGTTTCTGCAGAATGTCACATGAAGGGTTGATAGAGACGTTTTACATTGTGTTGGTGGAAGCACTTGCTAAGTGACACATCAGTTTATTGTATTTGCTCGGTTAAATCACTCACTGGTTTGTGTCCTCGCGGGTTTTACTGCTAATATCTGAGTTATTACCAATCCTTTGCGTGGTGAAATCTATTTCAGAGGATGCCTCCAGCCTCAGGGAGTGTGTGTGTGTGTGTGTCATCGTCCTCTTTGACTTCGTATAGCACTCCTTGATTTACTCTTTCCATTTGTCTGCCACACAGCTCAGCGATGGAGCTGCTCATCTGTCTCTCCTTCAGCCCATCCATCATTTCCATCATCAACTCTGTATTTCTTCGTCTTTTATACTCACTCCATCTCTGTCTCTTCACTCGTCGGCCATTTCGGGGGGTTTTGCGTTCCACCCCTTCCCTCCGCTCCTCTCATCCTCTCATCTTATCATATGCAGCACTTTCCCGTCTGTCTGTGTCATTTCTGCCGGCCGTGGAGGAAGAAGATGAAGGAGCCCGAAGGGGGCTGACTTCCTGAGGGATCCGATTGCAGAGTTTTGTCTTGTTGATGATGAAACTGATCTATTCATCTGTAATAATGGCTGTTCAAATAGACACAGGCCCAGATGCTCTGTACTGGGGGGGGTTCTTAGTAAAAAGCTATAAACCATAAAAAGACACACATGTGCTCCAACCATCTTTAAATGGGATAGAGGCTTTTAAAAATGGCAGCATTTGGTTTTAGGGCGGTACAGTGAAAGGTGAGGGTGCTTTATAAACCACAGCGACCAGAGATTCACCCTTAAGGATATTTCTGAGTAAAGGTTTGTCAGGACGTTTACCCACCATGACGTCCTCCTTTGAAGCCTCGCGTCGTGGATTTCGGCCACATTGAGGCCGTCTTGGTTTCCGTCCATCATCATCTGGCCTTTTAAAACCAAAAATGACACAAAAGAGTGTAGTTCTATTCTACTCCACAGTTACTAAGTAAGCATTATGCTGTGCTGGTGTTTACATGTCAACTGAGGAGGACTTTCTTCAGTC